AGCAAAGAGCGAGATCAGGCATCTCATCAAACGTCACACGTTCTTTCGTAAGTTGTACGTTCATAAGGGTCAGCGATCTGAGCGAATTAAACTTCCTCTCTCAGACACGTCGCTATCTTCCTCTCAAGACTCTGATTTCGTTCTGCTCTCCGCTGTGATGACGTCCTGTACGAAGTTGGATCCATTCAAGAAACTGTCCTGCTTTATTGCTGGTTCAGCATAGGGATGCTTGTCCTTTTTGACTGCCTTATTGATCATCTTATGCGCAAGGCTTTTGATGGTTCCTCTGATGTATCTGACGATTGCTTCTCCTCCTCCTCGGTCCCTTTGGCGAATAGCAGAGCCTTGCTGTGCTTCAAGTATCTCGTACCTGATTAAGCTGATCTCTTGGGTAGACGAGTTTAGTTTGTATACTGGCTCCCGAATTACCACGCTCTGGAAGATAGTCATGTGCTATGTTCCAAGCTCCCGCTTCACGCTTAGGTCAGAGTGCTGGGGCTGTCTAAGGATTCGCATGCTCGTTGCAGGGTGGGCCCCAACGAGGACTTTATTTCCGGTCGCCCGACCCGGCAGTGTAAGCGCAACTAGTAGGCCAGCGGAGCGAGCGTGCGCCGAGGCTCCTTGTGAGAGTGCGGATTGAAGCAGGGTGAGTTTCAGGAGTACCATGTCGAAGCGTGCTGACTAAGAATTCGCCTGATGCTGAGAACGTTTGTGTGAAGGATCCTGAAAGGATGCTGTCTCGATCCCTTTAGTCGTGAAGAGATACGCGGAAGAAAGACGCACCTTTGTTTTGAATGACGTCAGACTTTTATCGTCGGGCTTTTGCTTGACAATGGATCCTGAAGACCTACAACGGGTCTTGCGAAGCTTTGCGTCCGCATTAAGCTGCCGAACGAGATTGCACAGTAAAGATACTCAAGAGTACGGCTTCTGGCAACTGTTGGACTTGTTCTAAAAAGGCTGTTCCCTTACTGCCTGTAAGGTGACTCTGTCTTGATCCTACGCATAAGGCAGCAAATCCGTCTTTCGTAGCATTCCAGAGTCGTCCCCGCTGATTAAGAGTATGATATTTATTCAGGATCGCCGCTGGCGTGTAGCACGCAAGTCAACGCGCGGCTCGCTGCGAAGGCGCCGTTTTGGTGCTACCACCTTGAGCGGGGCCGATGCTCCGAACGAGCCAGTGAGTGTGGTGAGCCGAGACGTGCTTCCTGAACTTTTCCCGAATCTTATAGAAGTTGGTCGCAGAAGAGCTAAGGAGCCGTTAACATTGCGGTAGTCGTCGCTGAAAAGATCGTATGCGGACAGCAAGGATCTGGGCGCCTGGGAAAGCTTGTAAGCGGCCGTTCTGGTCTTTTCAAGGGGAAGTGGTGACTGCTGTCAAGATCGAAGCCGGTGAAACAATAGGAGGAACGGGACAGTCACCGTGTTCAGTGCAAGACTCGACACGCTTTTCCTGATGGATGGGTTGTCTACCTTGAAAGAATCTTTTTTGCGGTCTGAACCATTTAAAACGCTCCGATGCTCTGGACAATATGCTGCCTGATGTTCTTCTCTTAGAATTCTCAATCTGCAGCATTTTTGGGGCTCCCTCTGGGTGGAGGGTAGGGTCTTTGCATCGCCTTTCATAGCAAAAGCGTGAGTAAGACTTGAGTGAAGCCATCGGAGACGCTTCAAATCATCCTCGACTGGAGTCTTGTCAACCCTCCTTCTCCGGTTGCACAATTAAGAGCTGGTGTACCCGCTAGCGCTTTACGTGGTTGCTAGAAAGCACTTCTCGTATGCGCGTCTCGTCGAAGGTCCAGCAATACCGGCCCATCAGATTGACATTTCTGTCTCACCGGTGTCGCTTGTATTCCGTTTCATCCCGTGGTCTGCTGTAGCGGAAGGTATTGTGTATGCAACCATTTGTCTATTCTCTGATTCCCCTCTGAGGACACCGTGCTCTCTGACGCTTCGTCATTCAACTTCAAGTTGCTTCATGATTCGCGGGCCTTAGCGCTGACGTCATCACGGCCCATGTTGACGTCACCCGTGCTCCTGCAGCGTGGGCGCGGACCGCAATTCGGGCCGTGCCACGTCCTCCACTTCTCCCGTCCGACGGACCCCCCAGCCGGCTCCCGGTGCTGACGTTAGCAAGGCCCGGGTGACGTCAGTGCACAGCTGTCCGTCTCAGTAACGAGCGTGCGAGTTTTGGCGCGAATCGGACGAGAGCGGCGGTTGGCCGCACGCTCCGCCGGCTGGATAGAGCGGGACAGGGATCAGGGGGGCTGCTCCTTTAGATGAGCGGAACTGCATCATCGACGTTCTTTCCTTGTTCCGCTGGGGTAAGCGGCCGTACAGGTGCCCTCTTGAATCTCATTGGAAGCGCATGCCTTGTGTCACGGATCCGTCTTGCGACACGAACGTTACTGATCGATCTAGAGACTGGCTGCACCAATGTCGCCCAATTCTCTGGCGTTTTGCTTGGACTCGCTTGCAAGAGGAGGCGGCATACTTAGCGTTACGCCCTGTAATTTTTTGGTCACCGGTTGCACCCCTACCATCCCAGCCAGAACTAAAATGCTCTGCAAATGTCATGTACCATCTGTTTTGCGCTGACTCCGATCGTGATAACCATGTGCCGATGTACCTTGTCCTCTCGGTTGCGCTTGCGAGGAGAACTAGATTCTCTGAACATCCTCGTGTCAGAATGTCGCATAGGCTTGTGACCTGGTCTGGAGGCTTGTACGTTGCTATCTCGCGCTGCGATAGTGTTTCCTTCTGTTTGAAATGCAGTCCGTTTGCTTCGTTCCACAAATACCAGGTTAAGTTGCCGCTCCCTCCAAGTGCGGCTCAGTCCCGTGCACCAACCTTCAACACTTGTCACGAATCGTTTCTCAGGGCACAACGTTCAGAGTCCTTCTTTGACATAGCTTGTTGAGGCTGACCTTCAATTTCCCATGTGCAGCGTTTTCTCCGTCACGTCGTCGCGCCTCGAGCAACCGCCCAAAGCGCGTGTCGTCCCCGCACCCGTCTCGTTCCCGTCAGCCACCGGGTTGCCGCACGTCCCGCGAACATCTTCGTACGTCCTCACCGCTCCTCAGTTAACGTCATGGCAAGCCAGTCGCGCGTTGACTTCGGCGTGGCGAACCCGGATATGTGCCAAAATCACCGCAGGTACGCCCCTTGAAACGTGGCTGTCAAATTCTCAGTTTCTTTGGTTCGATCCGTAAGGGACAGCCACAGCAGCGGTCTGTGGAAGGCATGCCGCTCTGCGCGGGCGGAATCCGGAACGGAACCGGTTGGCGGGGTCTTCATAAGTTCTCCTGGTCAAGTTTCGGCTTTCAAAAGATGACTCGTCACTCCATCCACCTCCGCTATCGCACTTTCTGGCCGATGCGTTGTCAAAGTTGGCGGGAGCTAAGTTCCGCAAACTCCGCCAACGGATGACATTGTCACGTCAAATTTCGTGGGCTGATGGCTGATCCCGCCTTTCTCCGACGCAGATTGGTCTGCTTTGTGTTCATACGGTGGCAAAGTTACGGCCGACCATGCGGGACTGCCTGATGATGCTCACTGCTAAAAACAAATTTTCGCCGCTTCCGTAAAGGCCAGCTACCTGTCTCTTCGAGCTCTCGAGGTGGTTCAGACATTTAGACTGAGCAAGTTAGGAAAAAAAAAGGAACTTCTTTCAGTATGTCGATTTCGGAGGCCTCGCGCGTGCTTGAATTCTTAGATTGGTGGTAGCGTAAGTCAAAATCTCGGGGTAGTTAAGTCTACGAGTGTATCATCTCGACCTTGGCCGGGGATCGAAGTCCGTCTAAGGATTGCTTCTGGTTTCGTGCTTCTTTACTGTTCAGTGCATACTGTTCCCTTCAGCTCAAACTTGAGATCACCTGCATGATCGAGCTCCGGGCGGGTATTTTGTGTATGTGCAAACTTACTTTTAGGAGGATTATGTCTGTTACACCGCGTCCCCCGCGGAGTTTCGGGCTCATACATGTATGTCAACCTGGTACTTCAAACATATTCCCGGGTCCGGGGCGAATTATACAGCACAAGCTACTATAGTTCTGGAGCGCATGAGATCACGCCGCTCTAAACATGGATAGAGAACATGCATGCATGTGTTGCAATCTGAGCGACAGCTCTAACAGCTAGTCGTCGTCCTCAACAATTGTTCTACAATCAGTGATTATTCAATGTTTTTTGAACCGTCACTTTGATCATGGTTCTCCATTTTCTGCCAAACTGAGAGGTAGACGCGGTATTAATTAAAAAGCGTAACCCCCACACTTGTTCAAGACATACGTCTACGCAAGCTAGACTCAAAGCTAGTCGCATCCAAACGGCACAGATGTTCACATTTTGAAAAGCCCGGTGATATCACCGGAGAAGCTCACGATTGTGATCGACTGACTTTTTGTCTTCGCCATAAAAACTGACAGACCAGAATCTATATGGACTGGCTAGCAAACAAGCACTAACTGACACGTGTTCTTAATTGAATCCTGTACAAGCCTAACCTCGGCGCGACCGAATCTAGAAGAGCAGCTGTTGCAGCGCGGCTAGCTACTGAGTAGCTGTCGATGGCTAATGCTTCAAGTCCTAAAATGGTTAAGTACGTACAGACGCGAGCTAGCACCTCAGTAACCAGACATTATACGGTAGCTTAACCCCAGATACGTCCATGTGCGCGGGCGCTGCATGCTACCAGCTGTGTCTCGAAGGCAAATTGGGCTCAGTTGCAATGTCAAGTAGGTCAACCGATCGAAGCCCTTAGAACCTGGCTGCATAAATCGCTAATAAACATGTACTACGTGGTACGAACGAAGGGATGCGTGTACGAGCGAACGGTTCGAAACTGCCTTTCCTGCTCTCTCCACCAGCCTCTGAGCTTCTAATATCTGCTTCAAAAGTCACCATGGCATACTGACAAACTTCACCCTAATCGTGGAACTTCCATCTCATTGACTAGAAACGTATTCGACAAAGACCCAACCGGGAACCAAGTAAACTGTTCTGGACCAGATGTGTAACCAACGTGATCCCCTTGGATCGACTGCGCGACCTATGCTGATTGAGCCCATGCAGATGTAGTCAGCCCACGTGTCCCTTGCTTACGTCACCCGGTTACTTCCTCCGACCGCGGTCCAGGTTAGCTCGGGGAGCCCAGGTGCCGTGAAGCCCATACGCCATGTTGTGCCGGCACCGGAGCAGGGCGACCGGGCCCTTCGTGATATCCTGCGCACCGCGCAAAGGCTATGACGTCAGCCACACGTCATCGCTTACAACAGAATTTCCAGCTTGACGTCAGCTCCCGGGGGAAAACCTGCTTGATCATGCCGATGCAGCGGATGCATCGAAAGCTCCAGATTGAGGAGCTTTCGATAAGATCCGTCGTGAATGTACCGGGGTAGCCGCTATTGCGGACCGGGCTTTTACTAATGGATGCAGAGCCTGCCTTTACGGCAAAGACTCTCTCGTTTTGAGATCGCCCTCAAATTGTATCAGGTCTGATCGTACGATTAGGAGCCATCTAATCCAGGGAGACTTTTGCTAGGTTAGGTGGGTGGTTCTGCTCTTGACGAGATGCAATTCAGTGGGCTTTGAAGGCGAGCACTCAGGTCGTAACGCGTCGCTCTCTGCCTCTCTTCGCAGTGTAAGAACGCTTGCTTCTGCAGAGAGAAGTCGGTTCGCCAATGTCTCTAGCCGAGCGAACATGGAAGTGTACTGTACTTCGTCAAATTGAAAAATCGGCAAATTTCCGAACAGGACAAACGACCACGCGAAAGCGATTCGTCACCGTGTAATGATGAACCATAGACTGAAAGCTACGTGAGCTCGCCCTTGACACAATTCTTCCCCGCACTCCACAACGCAGACTGGTCCTCACCTCGGCGTCAAAGATGGCCAGCTCCGTCATCAGCAGGTCCGTGTCGTACAGCAGCACCAGCACCCAGCCCGCGTCTTCCGGAAGGATATCGTCGCTTCTCTGGCCGCCACGTGGCACGAAGATGGGCTCGCCCACGTAGACGGTCGGCCACTCCGCCCACACTTGCGGGGCGGTCGAGCCGCTGGTGTCGACCTTGCGGAGCGCGTCGAAGAGAGCCCCCCCTTCCGGAACCTGTTTGGGTTTGGACAATAAGAAAACCATGGAAAACGAAAAGGGAAGGGGAGTTTTCGGAAAAGCGGAAAGACTCTGAGCGAGCGAGTTGAAAGATCGTTCCCAGAAGGGGACAATCGAACACTTGAAATTGGAGAAATGAAGCGACACTCAGGTTGCCAACCCAAAAACAGTGATCGCCAAACGTGCCAGCGTCAACAGCATTGGATGACAATCAGGAGTGCGGCTGACGAGAACTGCAGAACTCAAGGTAAGAGACTGCCGATGCACGATGCTCGAATCTATGAATCTCAAACGCACGCTAACATACGAGCGATAAGGTTGAAGGCGCCCGTACCTGAAACGGATGGGGGAGGTCTGCGAGCTCGAGATGGACAAAGCGAAGTTTGGGAGTTTCCTGAAACAATTTGTCGGTTTCAAGCCAGAAAGTAAATTTAATATCCCACCTGGCACGACGCGGTGTAGATGTAGCGCGCGCTGCTGCCGACCTTGTCCGGGTGCACCGCGGCGAACTCGCCGTTGCGCTCGTCGATCGTTTCGATGGTCGTCTGCCCCGTGGCCAAGTCGAGCCGCAGCCGCACCAGGTTCGACGCCGGAAGGAAGTCCAGCGGCGGGTACGCACCGCGCTCCGCGGCGCTCTTCATGTACGACATGGGGACTCGCTGCGAAGAGAGGAAGATTTCAAACGAGAATTCTTAAGAATTCTTTTGATGAGTTCAGGTTATACTCAGAACGAACCTGACACTCAAAAAACTTAACCCGACATATCACCTGCTCTACAGCTATGTCCACCCTAAACCCCCTTAGAAACCCCACCTTTTCCAGTTCCAACATTATGACCAGAACGTATTCTAAGTAACTTGGAGATTGACTTTTGATTGAGCTTTGATCCTTGAAGTCTTATTGAAACTGAATCGCCGTTAGCGAAGTGAATGCCGCCCCAGTGCTCCAGGTTTGTTCGAACGTACGAAGCCTCGTCCACTTCCGCACAAAGCCGACACTACCAGATAGACCAGATTGTGGTGAGCAAGCTTTCGATTCTTCGCTCGACCTGGGCTTCTCACCAGATACTGCAAATGCACGATCTTAAATCCCGTCAAATCAGTTCGTGGGTCTGCTTTTCAGGTCTGCTTCTCTGCTTCTCTGCCCCCGACTTGGGGATGCAAAAAGGTCTCCGATGAAACAGACAGGGCGAGAAGAGAGAGCCTCACAGTGTATTTCAGGGTGTCCAAAACGATTCCTCCGTTGCCGTCTTCAAAGGCATTTGCGTGGTGAAGCGACGACACCGGGGGGGTCTTGAAAATCTGGACGGGTGCGGTCGGATCGTGTCGGGAGATGAGGAGAATCTGCCCCGGTTCAGTGTTGCTGAAGTGGATGGCCCCCGCGACTCCCCCCTTGGGCTTCAGAATGAACCTGGTCCAGAAGGATTGATAGTTTTTGGGAGCTGAGAAGTTTGTGAACAGTGGGGGTTGAAGTTCTTCAGTTGCTTGGGCGACGCTGTTTCGATTGCGGAGGATCCTTTGCAGTGTAATTTGAATCGTAACGTAAGCTGACACTAGCGGATTACTTTAGTCTGTCGAAAAAGTCGGTCAGCTTGAAGGGCTGAAAGCTTTGGCCTCAAGGACAACATGGCAGCGGGTCTGTGCATCAACGAAGGGTCCGCGCTGAGATACTCGATTCGGCGGCACTTGATGATCATCATGTGCAGGCAAAAGGTTCATAACGACACAGATCTGCATTCTGCAAGAGGAGGAGGATTCGACGTAATGGTTGAACGCAGGGTGTGCTACATATGTAGAGAAAAGGCCTGATAAAGCGGTTGACAAACCCCAAAAGCGCAAAGTGAAAAAGCAGTTCAGGTTTTGTAGTTCGAGGTGAGTGAAACACGTAGTAACAGCACCTCCGAGCAAGGAGAAATCAAAAGGACCGCAAAGCTCGAGGCCGGAGCACTCAAGACCTGAAAGACCATTCAGAAACGATGAAGACCTGAACGACTACGTCTTGAACTTTCACAGTACGCTTCCTCACACAGAGTTCTGAGTTTTCAAAGCCTTACCTGCTGCCTCGCTCTTCCAACAAGTGAAGCCCTTTTGAAACCCTGAAACCGATCCTTCGAGAGCGATCAGATCAGAGACACAAAATTATAAGTTTCCAGGTTTTTTCTGATTCGATGACGTGGTTTTTACTCACCTGAGGAGGTCCATGTTTCCTGGTGTGTACAGGAATACGTAGTAGTTGGGCGTGATGCAAAAGTCGTGCATCAGTGTGAATGGGGCCCACACAGCGCGCGTGAACACCAGGTTCCAGTCCTCGTCCCACTCGTAGCACGTCAGCCGCATCGTGTTGTTGATAGCGTATGGGAAGGTCGTGGCGCTGAAGCTGACGAATCTGTTGCGAGCGAAAGAGGACGGCTGACGTCAGCATCTGATCAAGCGAAGCGAGGGCGATTCACGATTTAAATTATGTGACTACAAGTAGAATGGAATCTTGTCGGATGCGCTTTCTCGTCCATCGATCACAAGAAGAGGCGACGACGAGAGTGCCAGAAGACTTCATCAAGAGGAGCTTCAGTGTATAGCTTAAACTGCCATAGACGAGCTTGGTGGATTTTCTCAGGTTCTAACAACCATTCTCCACAATGTAACCGTCGCTTAGCATGGAACTTGTCTTTGAAAGCCCCTTGCGGCGCCGCGAGGACTCTCGCCTGATCATCTAGAAGCAGTACACGTGCAACATCTTAAGCCCACCGAATGACTCCACAGAGACGGCATCACTAAATATGAGCCCTTCGTAGGTCAAACCAAAGCTGACACAATCAAAGTGCAACGGAGTACTTACAGGCCAGACAACCTCAAATATCGAAGAGCTTAGGAAAGTGTTTTGAACAATACAAAGCCCTGTTGATTACTTGAAAAGCGCGTGTTCGCTGACAGCCCACGTAACAAGTGAACCGGAAATCTCAAGGCTCTCCAATGTTCCAAATTTCGAAATCTTCTCAACTAAGTATCTGGGCTTCAGGTCCCGCTAACCTGATTTCGTTCAACTCACCGTTTCTTCACCGGGTCGATCCGAGGATGAGCGGCGAATGCGGGCTGGAAGGGGGGGTCCAACCACTTGAACACCGGGTAAAGCAGGCTGGTTAGCGCACCCCCCAAGTCGGTCATTCCTCGCGTTTCCAAAGTGTCGGGATCCAGCTCGTGGGGAAGACCAGCCTCCCAGAGGGCGAGCAGCTTGCCGCCCCAGTAAACCACGTTGGTCTGAAGAGCAGGGTTAAGAGAATTCAGAAGTTTTAAGAGGGTGGAAACGTTCAGAGGGTTCAGAGGGTTGGGGGCTATGGAGAAGAGGGTTAAGAGGGGGTCTTAGAATGTGAAAAAATAAAAGGAGGTCCAGAGAAGGGGTTACGAAGGGGTTTGAGAAGGTCAGAGATAAGAGGGTCTGGAAAACAGAGATGAAAGGAAGGCTCCAAGCGCGTTTTGGAGGGTTTAAGAGTTCGAGAAGGTCGAGATAATCAGAGGGGTTTAGGGACCAGACACTAGTGAGGGGTGTTGAGTGAGTCCTCCACGAGGGTTTCAGAAACTTCAGGAAGTTTAGGGTAATCAAGAGAGTTTCGAAAGAAATATGAACGAGAGATTCCCAGTGCTTCCAAGATAATTGGGGGAATCCGTACAGAAGGAGAAACATGTGTACACAACTTGTCAAGTCACAGGCTGGCATCTTGTTCCAATGTAATCTTGGAGACGTGTTGGAAAGGATCTGAGAAGCGAACGCGGCTGGAAACAGGAGTCTCCAAGAGGAGTAATCCTCACCTACTTAGGCATTGGGAGCATTTCTTCCCGTGGTTCCTCCGACTTGCACCATTTTGATCAGCGCAGAATATACGTGTCAACGCTCAGAACTTCCTTTTTTTGTAAAGCTCACATTTGCCGGGTTCTTCACGCGCAGATCCAGGAGGTTCGCAAGATACCCCCCACTTTTCAGCGTGCCAAAGGCCCCCCTGCAGCTAGATTTCCTGGTCGCCTTTTCCCGCTCGAAAGCCGCCGTGCGTACAATTTTCTTTGTCAGGTGGACCTTCCCCCCGGAGAAGGAGAAGGCGGCGACACAGCCGTCACCGTCGACTGAGTTGTTCAGTCGCCACCCGCCGACTCCCTCCAATGCGGCGGGGCCCTGCAGGCGGTTTGAGACTTTGAGATTTGCCAGGTCTGAAACAATCTGTGCCCTTTTCGGGATTTGCGAAACTCAAAGGACATTCCGGAAAGCGAATATGAGTATGTCACGTTCATTTGCCCTTGAACCGTTTGTCATGAAAGCTCGACGCAGCGCCTGCTAAGAGATCGTCACCCATACTTCCTGCAAGGGAATCCCCATCTTGGGCTGTCAGGGTATTCTTATGCATTGCCCAAGCCAGAAATGTCACAAGAATCAGGAATGATTTGAAAGATGACGTTTTTGAGCCCATATCCGTAACGTGCTGCTGCCGTCTTTCTCTTCGCAGACGTTTTTACCGGGGCCACACCCCCGTTTGCGTCAGCGAAACGGCGGGCCCTCACGTTTCTGTACAGGACGCCGTCCAGGTCCATGGGCACGTGCCCCTCGACCACGTCCATAGCGTATGCCTCGTCCTCAAATGCGGCCGAGTCGATGAGCTGGAGCGACACCAGGGCGCCCAGCGTGGCCACCTGTCGGGATGACAGAAAAATTGGTTAAAGCTGACCCACTTTTGGATTTAACCTATAGTTGGCGTCAGCGCTTAGCTTCTGGACCCGCCGATGATTTTCATCTCCTGAGGTCTCTTCTTGAGAACCTTTCTTAAGCACTACGGTGTCAGCTAAAATAAAATCGGGGGAAACACACGTTTCATTCCGCAATCCGGACATGTGACGATGCGCACTCGCTCTCACTCACTCCTGAATCATCAGTCCTTCCATTTGAATTCTGGGTGACATACGCAGTTGTGACGCAAGATCCGTCTGCGTGACCCTGGTCAATGAGACTTCCGAAGGCAACAGAAGAGGCTTTTCCACACTCAAGTATCGGCGTCGCCACCTCGACAAGTTTGGAGACATTCGGACGTTCCAGTTCACGTCGGCCGCCTCCTGGTGATTGCGCACGATGATGTGGAAGTGCGGAAGAAGTTTCAAGCTTATCAAAAAACCTGGGACGTCTGGCATTTACTGCTAGCGCGCGTCCGCAGCAGTCCGCTTGCGATGTTCGCTGCCTCAGGTGTCCAGTCGGAACCTAGGACACGGAACCCTTTCAAGGATTTAGGGCGTCTGCTTCCTAAATGATGGGTGTCAAACATGTACTGCATAGAGCTTAGTGTTATGAACCTTCCGCCTCACATGGTTGGCGTCTGCGACCATCGGCATGCCACAATTGGTGCTTCATTCAGACGCCCAGTCTGGAAAAATCAAGAAAAGCATCATGCGAAGGGCTCGGACAGTGAGGATTCGAAATACTGGGGCTTCTCGTCGATTTTCGGACGCTCCGTCTGACCTGGTTGGCGTCCGCGGCCGTCCGGTAGCCGCGCACGATGTGTTGTACGATGCTGGACGTCGCCTGGCTCTGCAGCAGCCGCAGGAACGACGTGCGGTCCAGCGACACGCACTCGACGGGGCCGTGGCAGATCGCCGTCGAATCACGGCGCTCGCTCTTGATCAGGGAGCGCTCCCCGAAAAAGCCGCCTGCGTAAGGGAACGGAAAGACAGATTTACAAGCAGATTACACTAAGGGATTGGTCTTGTTTAAACGAGCGACTCTAACAAAACGACCCATGGCCCATTTGTAAGCGGGAAGGTCAGATTGCGCGTCGTTTCTGATGAGGGAGCGCTCTTTTGAATAAGTTGGCAACTCAAAGTCTGGCTTTACAAATTGCCGAAAATTGAACGGTCGACTTTTGGTCTGTATCCCGCAACAGCGACAGTCACATTCGTATGTGAAGGGCGAAGAAGACAACTTAATAGTGGACAAGAGAAACAACAGGTTTTGTAGCGTACGATTTGCTTCATGCTTCCGCGTTTCGAAAAAGCACCCACAAGAGCAGACAAGGAAGGCAATTTTAGTCAAAGCCACGCTACCTGCCAAGGGATTGCAGAAATCCAGACAGTCCTTGTCAAAACAGCGAACGACGAGGCAAGGCCATCAGCAGAGATGTGTCTTCACTATGACTGCTTCGGGGAGCTCTGCAAATCTGTTAAACATAAGCTGGCCGGTTTCAATATCTCGTGCTGTGCGAACTCACTCACCTACTCTGACCACGGCGGCGTGGACCGGCTGCTTGCCGTCGGGCATTCTCACCGTGACGACTTCCCCCTGCGAAACCAAAAGCGCTGACGTCAGCGCGCTCGAGCATGAAGATTTCGCTCAGCTCAGGTGCTGACGTGAAGTCACTCCAATGTCTGGCAGCTCGACTTTCGGTCCAACCGACCCAGGGACTTCGCAGCAGGGCTGAAGGACGGAGAATTGACGCAGCTCGTGACGGAACGATGACGTCAGCTCGCGACGCACGCACCTCCGTGACTATGTACATGCGAGAGCCCTCCTCGCCTTCCTGGATGATGATCTCGTTGTCTTCGAAGCGCTCCTCTTTCAGCGCATCGCACAGCTTCTGGCGACCGTAAGGCTCCACGTCCTCTGCGGAAGTGGGTTTACTTTGGTCAGGGGTTGGGTTGGATCTGATTGGGATTTGCATGTGCAAGAGAGAGAGTTGCGAAGCCACATAAGGCGGGGATCGGAACTGGAAAGCACGTTTTCATTTTGGAGTGAATTGAGTGAGGAACACCGTTCTACGTGATGGGCCAGAATACTTCTCATGCTTCGACTGTCTTTTTACTGGCGGAACTAGAAGCAGATGCAAAGCGAGTGCCTCGGCTTTGGCCGAAATCTGGGCCGCTCTCTCTATAATGCAAACTGACTCCGTCGAGAATCGGTCGTGGCATGTTTTCCCTTGTCTGTTTGACAGTTTGAGCCGTACGTGGCACCCATGCCAGCTTTGAGCAAAGGCATTGACAAACCCTTTTCTGACTGCGAGCTTTGGCGCATCTTGTCGTTTGAATATGCGCTAAGCATCGGGCGTTTAAGCCCAGAATCAAAGATCGGCTGCACTAAACCTTTGAGAAGGTGACCAGGCTTTCCTAGTACAAGCGAGTATACAGATTTATTCAAATCCGATATGAGGATAAATGTGGACCCGGTTCCATATAAGTGTGACACGTGGCTCACTCAGGAAAGGCACGGACGCCAGGAAAGCGCTGTACTTGGCGCGCTTGTCCGCGTTCTCCTCCTTCATGTGCCTGACGTAGTCAGCCTCCCGTAGAATGTAAACCGTGACGTCATCGGCCGCCTGCGGAAGAAATGACCTCTGGTGTATTTGAGTATTAGGGTTCAAGGGGATGTGGTTGGACTTCGTGGGTCTGACGTCAGCGGGAGGGGAGCTCGACTGCTCGAGCTGTACAGCGTTTGAGTTTCGCACCAACCAGACAAAAGTAATCTGTTCGTCAGCCTCACATCCAGGTATGAAAACGAAGACTTCATCATCAGCTAACAGTACCTCTGACTCCATGAATGTCCCAAAGGATTCCGAAGAACCCAACAAAAGCGCTCGCTTTTCCTTTTCTCCTCCGCTCAAAAGATGACCCGACAAATGGTGAACCCAGGTTTGGAAGGCTAGCCCCGACTGGATGGGATTGAGGCGTTCTCAACGTTTCAGACTACCGCAGATGAGCTCTGAACATTTTCTTTTTGGACGCGGAACCTTAGTAGGTATTTTCGATGCGAACCAACTTAAAACTTTGCTTATCTTACAAAGGACCAGGCTTTAGCCTTGTTCCAAGGCTGGTACCGCCCAATTCTACTGGTTTTCGGACATGTAACCGATCTCTAACTAGCTCATAATCGGCCCATAACCGTCCATGGCTAACTACCAAAGACTCGTGTCAATATGGCTTTTTGACGATGAAACACAACCGGCTACGGCTACGGGCTGGTTAGAAGCTGCTTATAGTCCCCTGACCAGAATCGAGCAGTTGAACCAGTTTTTCAACATACTTACGGCCCGCTTATTGAACAACTTAAGTCTGGTTAATCAGCCTGGTCAGCAGCCAAACCCTTCCTAAAGCTCACCTGGATGGTGACAGACCGGGGCACCTGCGTATGGAGCGCCAGCTCTCCGAAGTAGTCGGGGGCACTCATCCCGCCCACCATCTTCCCGTCCTTGATGACGTGGACCGAGCCCGCGGTAAGGGCGAAGAACTCGGCCTCGATGTCACCTGCCACGTCAGCGAAAACAGGACAAGTCTGAGATAAAGAAAGGATGGAAGCGGATTTTCTCTACAATCGTAGGAAAAGACTGATGCCAACTCCCGTGTGTTGTCAGAGCGTGATTGAACCATTCAAGATTCGCAACGCCCAGTCTTCAACTTTCAACGCCCATATAGAGGTTTCGACAACGAAGAGATCACTTGTACGCACGACTCTGACTTAAGGGGGACGCGGGCGTTCTTGACTGTTCGGAAGAACAGAGAATGATACCCTGAGGATCTAGTACTCCCAGATCAAGACTGTAGCAACAGCCAGATAGTCTTGGTTTCCTCGACGACGATCATCCCTCCGTTCGAGGTTTATGTGCGGCCAGGTCAGCTCTCTCTTTCTGGAGACTGGCAGACGTAATCGCCTTACCCTGAAGGGCCAGAATCTCGCCCCTCTTATACTCCTTCCGCATCATATGCGGGCGCAGGATATGCACGTTGCTCGCGCTTTCCGGCACGCACGTCTGGACAGCTGTCGCCGCAATGTTGATGTCATTCAGCATCCGCTCGAAGGCGAGCACAGAGGAGAAGGAGCCGCCTGCTTCCATCAGCAACTTCTCAGCCTGTACGGAAGAACAGAGTCGATTTGAAAAGCAATCAGATTAGGCTGATTCGATCCGCTTCGAACGCGGATTGGACGGCTGTGTCGGCACTCTGTTGTAACTGACTGCGGTTTAGGGAATAAAGCTGACCAGAATCTGAAAGTGTATGACGACCTTGTGAGTATGTTTTCTTGATCATGTGGACTCTCTAAGACATGAAGATGAGACCCAAAGATTCAGCATCCGACTGACTGTGTGCGAAGATGGTGTCAAACGGAGTCGTCCAAATTTCGAAACGTCATCTGTACAGCAACTAGTAACTTGGCGCTTCTGCCTGGCCACGCAGCGCATTACCAGGCCTCCAACAAGGCTTTCTCATCTGCGTCGGCTTCGGACACGCTTCTCCTGATTCCTCGAACAGAATGCTATACTCTGAGCCCTGTTAGGTAAAAAGGGCGACCAGCCCACCTCTTGCCTCGACACGCGGTCGCCCACCGCGGCCAGCGCGCGCTGCATATGCTCCGGGCGGTACAGAGCTCCCCCGTGTTCGGCCATCACTGCCGCGACGTTTTCCCTCTCGGCTTTGCTAAGCAATCCAGGACAGCTGTGAACATCGGCGCGAAGACCGGTGTCTACGTGGACCGCGGACCAGAGATCGGTCTCTTCCGAGAGGGTGGAGAGCATTCCGGCCTCGCCGCGCGATACGGAATGGATGTCCATCTCTCCAACGGAAATGGTTTGGACGCCGGAGTCTCTCTGCAGTTGGAAGAGCAGGCTCGCCGCTGCGGCTTGCTCGAGATTGTCTGCGCGAAGTCGAAGGTAGGAGGGTGAAAAGGGTGTGCCGAATATAGTCTACTTTTCCCCTTTCAAACAAAGATGAAGCATTCGTCAAACCTAGGCCGTGAGCGTCAATAGACGCTGTCTGATCAGGTATCCCCAATCAACAGCTGTTTCATTTTAGAAACTGAAGATGGAAAATTTTCAGAGTTTCGCAATGCTTTCAACGTGACCGCGCAAGAAAGAGGGCGGTCAAGTTGACGATGAGAAGCAGAGAAGGCTCGAACAAGAGAAGCAGACTGGCACACCCAAGCGCCCGCTGAAAGAAGGCCCTAGACTTGCACTGGAGGCACAGCTGTCAAAAATCTGGAGGCTTTCTAGAAGAGACGGCACTTTGAACCTGTCTTATGGCATCACAACCAATGGCACTGAATGTGAAGGAACACAAATTTTAGAAAACAAGGGCTCATGTATTCAGGAACAGAAGCATCGCAGGGGCTTGAGCCTTGAACGAGATGAACCAGAGCCTTCACCTCTGCTGATGTCAGTCTCACCTCTGCTGATGTCAGCTCCATGGCCAGGTCTGGTAGCCGCCCCTTCCGCGTACATTGCGTGCGGTGAAGCCACCTTGAATCCTCTTTTCCCATAGCTTATGGACTGTGGGGCATAAGAGCTCAGTGGACGTGCTCGGAGCCCCTCATATGTTGAAAAGCATGGAGTGCGGGGGGGGCAAATGCCAGCTGTCCGCGTGCCTAGTCTTGAACCAGGGTGCAGAGGTGACACGTTCATTTGGGTCTCGGCAGAGCTGCCTGGAAGGCTTGCTGCGCGGTTCTGCACAAGAACCAGAGCTTCTTTGATAAGAACTTGAGTGATCACAGGTAAGGTTAGAAACCTGGCATTGTAGACTGATCTGGCTGCCAAATCCTGTAGCTCATAAGGGATCACTCTTGCTAAAACAATTGGCAGGAGGCAAAGCTCCAGAAGCATCCAAAGGAAAATCGATATCCTATATCCTATATCCTATAGCCCATATCCTAATCTCAGATTGCAATACATGGGCTGTATGAGAAAGTTTGTCAGTCTTTGCATTGTAGAGGATAGCTTCAGGGAGTTGACACACCTCCAGGTGTTGGAGCGGCAAAGCGCCAGCTGGCATTCTTGTCAGGCCAGCTATGCGCGCCATAGTAGTTCCTGTTAGATCAAGAGAAATGTGCACATAGTCAACCCCATTTTAGAGTCCAGCAGCAGACTAGAGCAAGTCAAGTTCACGGTGTCCCTGCTTACAAGATGCGCCCTGTCACACTACGCTAATGTTGGTCCTTCCAGAGTCTTGAAATGTATAGATGACTTCTGCAACGTATCTACACACCGCTGATGTACTCTCAGTAATCACTCCTTCCAAAAGGTGACTTTAAAAGTGAACTCTTCTCACTTTGAGTGTGCATCCAAACAAGAGGTTTGGGCAGAACCGGAATTGTGCTGATACTCATCTAAGGTGCTGACTTCCTGAAAGCTGTTAGTCTAGATCACTCTGAAGGTCACCATAGAACACTACCAAGCTCCTTCAAGATAGTTGGCCTCGCTCAGGTAGATGACTTTCATAAAGAAAAAGTCCATTCTTTGAAAATCTGTGACTATTTCTCTCTCATCATGACCTGTGGGCTTAATCTAGAAGAGTTGAAGCATTGCATACCTGATCAGTTGTCTTTGGTGGGTTCCCCCCACGTCAGTTGTTAGACCCACAATGAGGGGGCTGCACAGCTGCGCTTAACCACCCTTGCTCAACCCCTTGTTTAACCTGGCTACCAGTCCTAAACCTTAAAGTTACGGGGCTGCTTGCTAACCCCCCAGTGAGCAGGTACCTCCCAAAGTAGACCAGCTGGATACCCCTGTCAAGCTCACAGCGTCTCTGTGGCCAAGTCTGAGTTGAGCATTGGATACTTTTCCTGAGCTCCTTTCCAGTGACGGTAAGCTCGACCAGTCAAACGAACGTCGCAATGGGAGAATTCCTGAACGAGATGGCAGGGACTGAGCTGATCACAAGCCCCATAAAAAAGCCCACAGAGGGCAAAGTTAGCAGCCTGGTATTTTTCAACTTTCGTGTAGTCGCTCCAGCAGAGCTAATTCACTTGTATAGAAAATTGGTGACAGGGGGCCCAGAGACTACAGACTGGCAAGGGGCTTCGGAGCCCTACCTGGCTTGTCGATCCTCAATTGCCCAATGCAAGTCCTATTCCTCTCGCTAATTGCGCATTTCTTCTTGGAAAGTGCCACTGTTAACTTCGGATGCCTCGCAATTGACTTGGTATAGGGCGTTCAGACACCTGTCAGAGTTGACTTCGACGTGTATGTCGGTGCTAGAGAAGCGCAACTCCTGGCTTCAGTACAATTCGTGGCTTCAGTTGATTCAAGGTTTCACAGACGAGAATCTTCCTGATCACAGGACTCAGTGCACGAAGTCGAGGCGAGTATGAGCTCAGTGCTGCCACGTCCTTCGTCAAGACCCTACCTGATCCCCTGTCTTGTTTCTTATCATGCAGCTAGGAAGCATGTCAGAAATCAGATGCTGTGTCTCACGAGAAAGTCGTGGAGCAGGCACTGAAAACATGGCTCTGATGATGAGCACTGGATTTCAGTCAAGCCTGGCGCTATCCCTTTCTAGTACTTTCTCAGTATCAGAGAGCCCAGGTGAGAACTTAGAAGTGTGAAACTTTTCGTAAAAACCTACTACAGTAATATAACCATACTAACCAGGAAACTCTACCTGATCTACCTCTTGCATTCAACCAGCGGGCTTGTAAGTTGTAACTTTTTGATCGATTGTGACGAACCCCTTAGCCTTGCATGGTGTGTGTGTGTGCTCAGACTCAGAGTCACTGAAATCCGCAATGATGGCTCCGCAATTGATCGTCCCTCCGGCGTCATTCTGCGGGAAGCAGCAGAGCTCAAGTGTGCGAACTACGGACGAGATCAGATCCCCGGCCGCCCGAATTTGCAGGCCGTTTATTTCGCGGGGCTCTTCGGAAAATCGAGGCCCTGTGGACCACAAGAAAGTAGGTTTCAAACTCGCACGGGTCGTACGGTGTAACGGCGGCCGACCTCTGATTGACTCGGAATCATCCGACCGCATACCTCGGTGCGTAGCCGCTCAATAATCATGAACGGCGCTTTTCATTCGAGGCTCTGAACCGTTCATTGAGGATCTCCTTCTCATCGACGGTTTCACATCACGGTGCGCTCTTCCACTTTTTCGGTTGAACCGTGCGTTTTTTGTCATTCCCCCAATCATTGCCTTAGGCCTTGGGTCTTCAATCATTCTGAGCCTGTTGCACTCTGACACAGCACAGAGCACAGACTGAGTGCACTGGTGCACAGTACAGTTCACCAGCACTACAACTTATATTTCCGTGTCACTCCGCCCTTGTACTAGTAGGTACCATCTTTTCCTCGCAGTGCAGCAACCACTCCAGCGATAATACTTGACGGGACACAATAGTCTGTACGTTGAAGCAAGCTATCGACGACGTAGTGACATCATAATTGCCAGCTGGTCGATGCGGATTGGACCTTCTTTAATAAGTAATCAAGAAAGAGTTATAGGGCCGTGGAGAGTCTGACCCGGATCTGATCTTGTGTTCATTGACACATCCACGCTCCGCGTCCATCGAACAGGGTTTTGACATTCTGAAACCTGTCACGTACCTATCCAAACCGCAAGCTTTGAGACGCCCCTGATTTGTCTTTCATGCCAGTCCCCTTTTGGTGGTGACTGTCTTGCAACGTTGACTCGATCCCCGTTGACCCAGCTCGTGAGGCTTGCGGTTAGGTTCTAGGCCTCATGAAGCGTCGGTGCCAGGAGGAAAGACAACGTAAGCATGATCAGACTGCACTTTGATCTTCCCTTTCAGGAACTTCGTGACACGTGATCACAGGCTCGTAAGAACTCGAATCAGCCAACTTCGACGATATGTAATGTTAGCCCATGGGTCTTTCGACAGCTGCTCACTGAGCTGTCCCGGCCTCGTCCTTTGAACTAGGTATAACTAGTCGCCAAAGCATTGAGGCTTGTGGGCTCGCAGCTGGGGACTGCCTGATTGAGGTTGCCAGAGTCACTGATTGAAATTGAGCTGAAGCTGACTTTCAGGTGCGGCTGGAACGAAAGGCGTTTGGGCGGCAAGCACGTCTGTAACACCATCGAATAGGACCAACTTGTCGGGTGGTACCAAATCAGAGTACCTTGCAATAAGTTGTTGAGATGACAGACTTCGACGAATGATATCTGTGACGGTCAGGCGACATGGGTTCGACTAGCCGGAGCTGAAAGAGTTCAGCTCTTTCAAAAGCCAGCTAGGCCGGCGAGCCAGGAGCTCGATTCTTTGACAATCGGTCCTCTCAAGATTGTTTGGCAAACCTTGAGAGGACCGGCAGCATAAAGATTGTGTCAGGGCCGTATAAGTAATCAGCTGTGACAGCTGTCCTGAGCGGTACTGGACCGGAAAAGGATCAGACGGCTCCGTTTAGCATGGTCGGACGATTCTGACAGCCATTCATTTGTTAGCCGTAGCAAGGACATCACAATCTCCCTTTTGGTAACCACCATGATTCTTGCCTATTCTTTTGTTCCTTGTGACCTTAAACAAGTGCAAATTTCCTTGAAGTTTCCTGGTGCGAGCATCCAAAGTACTACGATCACTAGCTACAAGATAATCGTACGCCTTCGGACTATTGCGCAATCCGTAAGTTCAGCTTGGAAAAGTAGCATGCATTGGTCTAGCTCTCGGCGAGCTGACCGCAGGTCCAGGAACAGAACCTCCGTATAAGGTCAGACCAGAACGTGGTCGTTCTTGGATTCCGCCGAATTCAGCTTTTCTGGCATGTAAGCATCGACATTGCCGTTGAAGCGGATGTGTGAGGTCTCGGGGCGGCTCAAGTTGCTGAGCTGCGAAAACTGATGAGACGACTCAATGAAGCGAAATGGTAGGGTGAACTTGCGATCGGGGTACATTTAGGATCGCAGTCGACCTGGATCCATGCAGGATCGCGACGATCGGTGCGACTTCGACCATCCAAAGCTGAAACTGCAAAGAATGATAAATTCCAGTAGAAAACAACGTTGTCATGCAGTTTGAGTAGGAGGCAGGGGAGTACGTGGACGAAAATGTCGAGTTTCATGTGCCCTGAGCTGGCGGCCAAGAGGACGGTCCTGGCCGGCCCAACTTTGAGTATTATCACGTCCGTTCAGATCCTGGCCCGCCAACTATGAGCACGCGTTACACGTTATGAGCTTGCGAATCTTGACATCCTCAGTCCGAATTTCTTGGTCTCTCTCAGTCTCTAGTTCGGCGCCGTGTTGCAAAAGAATGTCGGCGTGTCAGGCTCTTGCACGATATCTTTGGTTGACGTGAATTGCAACAGATACTCTGAAGGAGTCGACAGACTTTCGTCAGATCAACCTGCATCGGTTCAGTTCACATGGCACATACTTGAAATATGGCATGTCGCTGGCCAGCCATGCATGTGCCATATGATGCCAGGCAGTGGCGAGATGATGGCAGGTTAAATCGCATGACGGTGGGCACGCAAGCTTTTGAATAAGATATCTCACGTCCATGGCAGCTATCGATGTTGACGAACTTCATTTCAATTTAGCGCACATGCAAACGACTGTAGTCCTAGAGCTACCTAGTACTTAGAGCGCCTGACTACGGCCACCGGGCTAGCGCTGGCTCGCCGGCCAGAAGACACGGCGTCATGGAATGCTGAAGCCTGTCCGACTAGATAATCTTGTATATTAAGATGGCTGCTCAGAAGGACGAAGGATGATCCCTGCATCGAACCTATGCAGATCAACGGTGCCAGAGTTCTACAATTGAACACGGCGTGCAACTCGGTAATCGTATATATGTAGGTACCACGATTTGTGCCGCCGCAGTACGTATCGGAGTGCCAGCTTCTCATGAGCAATCGCTGGATGCTGGAAACATGCCAGCGCAAATCAGAGCTACCTAGCTGCGAACAGATTCAACAAGTTTTACTTGTGACGAACAAGACTCGAAATCCATCAAAACTTCTGGCCTGCATAGGTACGTCAGATCGGATCAAACCCTCACAAGGTTCTGTAGTATAAGACCTTCGCGAACTGAATGATACTCAATGCCTGATATTGAGCAAAGAGCGAGCATGTGCTTTACCTGATTCAAGCTTTTAGGGACATTTCTTTTTATAATCATGAAAAATGAAAGCAACATGTATGCATCAAGCTAGTATCATCCTCCCACATCGTCCTACATTTCACCACACTCTGATATAACGCATGCTAGTTTGGGTCTGTTTTGCGCACCAGACTGAACGTTCTCTATTTTTCGTACAACCAGCAAGCCATCCCCCAACACCCTCTGCGAGACAAGACATGTATGATCAAGACTTTCGCCCTCACAAGCCAACTTACATTGACCCCCGCCGGAGTCAACATGGATTCACCACATCTACATTTCCGGTGTTCACAATGATAAATGCGAGACCCTTAAATTCCAAACCTATAGGAGAATGGTCTGTCGAAGAAGACAACTAGAAAGATTGCATAAGCATTTTTGGGTGATTGCAAACTTCGCCACTACAGCACAAACGCGAGTACAGAGCTGAAATGCTTACCCCAAAGACGACGTGCTTGTTGTCCAGCCAGTCGGATTTTGCACACGTGATAAAGAACTGGAAGGAGTCGGACGACGAGGTAAGTCAGAAGATAGACAGACTCGAGTCAGCTTGTGATCATTCAGTTAACCCTTGTAATAGTTGGGCCAAAACGCGCATCTTCCCGAAGCTCAAGATAGTCTTTGACAACCAATGAAGTAGGGCCTTGCCTGCAGCTTGTCAAGCACAGGTTCCCAAGCACTGGAAGGGTGACAACAACCGCATCTAGCAGGAAACTTGCACGAAACGTGAAGTGTTTGGAAAGACCCAGAAATACCTACCTGGCATCCATTTGTGTTGGGTCCACTGTTGGCCTGCAACAAGAACGGAGCGAGATTTCAAAAAACTCTCTTGCAGCGATCGGCTTAGCCATGCCGGCCTGCATCCAGTCAACACCGAACCGCCCTGATGCGCGTCGCAGGGGACCAGGGGACCAAAACGAATTCCTTGAAGCAGGTCTCCGTTGCTAAAACGGGGAACTGCCCTCGTTCTGCAGGACGTCAGCGGCACAAACAATCAATCGACGGCATCAACATACGGCAAGGGCAACCTCCGATTTGCTCATGAATTTCTGTTGGCTGTCTTAAGCACGAGGCGAGGACGACGCTGCTCACCATCGACAGCAAGCCGGGTCCTGTGTGCGAGGCCACGAAGTTTTCGTCGTCGAACTTGGTTCCGTATATGCAGACGCACCCGCTGCCGTCTCCCTGCACGTGACGGGGGAGTCCGCATTCAACAGTTGCTGACGTCATTCTGACGTGAAGAAAACAGAGGCCCAGTACCGGTCACAGGAACTTGAAGCCCCTCCTGACGTTATGCACTTCTTCCAAGGGGAAAGGAGATCTTCGAGCTGACGGAGCCCTCGCGAAGTTATTTGTTTCTCGTGGGCAGGTCAGGGTGCGGGCTGATCCGATCGACAGGTGTAAGGAGACAAACAGCAAAACCAGTGCCTAGTGAAAAGTTGCAAAGGAATGAAAGACATACGGAACAGTCAGAGCGACACAGGCTCGGTGGTTTGCAGAAGGAAACGCCCGTTTTTGCGGTCTTCAACAGTTGATTGTATGAAACCGCCTGAGCCCTGACTTTCTCATCCATTTTAGGTAAGACTTGACGATTCCACAAGCTCTTCCAGGGCGCCACTTCCAGACATTCAATCGAAATCTGCTTTTTGTTCCCTTCTTGAGTAGCAGGGAAACGCTCACCTTCACAAAGTCGCCCCCTTGTATCATGAAGTCCTTAATTACCCGATGGAAGGCGCAACCCTTGTAGCCTACAGGAATCCCACTTTTCCTGCACGGGACTTGTTCATTTCGTAGCTGAAGTTCGAATATTTTCTCAAACCCTTTCAGTACCTTTCCAACCACCTACTTCTCAAACCTATCGGCATCAGAGGCCCTTTGTAGGACTTACGGAGCTACGCAGAACTCGACAGTTGTCACTACGTCTGTGTGCAGAGGCAGCTCCTCTGCAAAAGATATGCGACGGGCAGAGGCTGTACTCAAACCGACTCAAGCAGGAATAAGTAGACAGATGAAAAGAAGTCTGAACCATGTACTAGGTAGGCTTTCGAAGAGACGACGCAGCCTTTGTGAGTCGTTCGCTCACAGGGAAGGAGCTTTTGTCTCTTTCATACGAGTCAAGGCACATGACTTCTTGTTCTGGTTTGATTCACCGCACTACGGAATATCCTGACAGCAGTACTGCTGTGCTATGAGAGACTAAGGGAAAAACTTACCGATACTCCCCTGTGCAAAATTGCCTGCCAAACAACGACAAGGAACAGTGAGAACGTTCCTGATACCAGAGACAAATGGAGTCGTGGCAGGTGCCGCGAGAGCTTCATGTGAGCTATCAATAATGGTGGATATGCAGGTGCTCGAGACCACTGGGAGCGGAGAGTCAAGAAAATAGGAAATGATTGATGTCGAGCCCTGACCGCGTGATGGGGAGCTTCAATCCGGTGGACGCCATAATAATCCGCTCCAGAGCATTGATGACATTCTTTGCGCCCTTAATCAGCAGCTTCAGAGTGAAAGCTCCACCTTTCATCCGGCAAAGCAAAAAGACCCTAGCAGCAAAGCAAAGGCCATCACCTCAACTTACTCCTTCAATCTGCCAACCAGCATACCCCCAGGTTTTCTCCCCCCCACGGTGAGGCAATCCGAGCTGCTCTAACAACTGTGTTCAATTGACATGTTCGACCCTGGACAAAGACCGGAAAACAGAGATACACCCCCAAAAAGAACCTGGGGCCTCCAACCTGTTTGTCTACCAGTACTACGGGGATGCACCTCTTCTCTACCAGCATCAAGCAGAAACTTACCAGGGGTCAAGAAGCTCAGAAGGAAGGTGCTGCTAACCTGAAATTTTCTGCAGTTTTTGGAACGATGTCCGCAAACAGCTCCATTTTGATGCGCCCTGCATCTTGTCCACCAATGGTCACGTCGAAGAACACCTGTTGAAAACAGGCAACGGCTGAACCTCACTCAGCCTCTTCACCTTCTGGACAGCCATCGGGGGCCAAGGTAGAGTGCCACTTGATTGAGGTGCTGTGCTGACTGCCCGAAATACTACCTGAATGCACCCTTCCGGTCTTTGGTATGACTGCGTACGAGCCAAATTGCCCTTAACGTTCTCCATGGGGGTTATCCTGGTCAATTCCACAAATATTCAGCTGCCTCACGTTAGCAGACATTCAACCAAATGTCCACTGTCCTCCCATCTCAAGCACAGCTCAGGGTGGCGCGTTCTGTTACATTCACCAATTCTTTCGTGAGCCCCAGCAACAGATTAGTCACGAATCCAGCCGAAAACATCAGCACATTCTACTCTCAGAACACCACGGCTGGGGCTTACGAAACCAAAACCAATTTGTGGAAGGACCAGGATGACTGCCATGGGGAAAGACTTTCCAGAACGACGTCTTTGTCCACCACCTTAGCATCAACGAGTTCCTTCCCATTTTGAAGCTCCCCTTCGCCCCAGCATTGTGAAAGATTTTGCACATGCTTTGGTGGTGGCGGCGTGTTTACAGAATGTGAGATTGTAACATTCTTCGCGGTATCTTCAATATCAGCACTTTCTACAACAAATCAATCAGGATTCTAGCTGGAATAGATCAGCGCAAATTCTCTCTGAACACTATTTTAAAGTGCTGATGGTGAACATACCACAATGAGAATCACATTCTAACATCCTGCTGACACGCCGCCACCACCAAACCTTTTTCAAAATCTTTCCCAGTGCACTGGGCGAAGGGGAGCTCCAAAACGAAAAGGAACTCGTTGATGGTAAGGTGGTGAACAAAGACGTCCTTCTGGAAAGTCCACCACTCCAAGCAGCTGCCTCAATCAATTCTTTGCAGACAATTCCGACCAGACTGTCAGATTACTGGGACTCAAAATGGACACAAAAACAGGCGATTCCTTCTTTCTGTGAGGAAGCCAGCCTGAATGCTGGCCAGCTAACCTTCACATGGAGATGATTTTCAAAGCTCCTCATACTGTGCAGTCATACTTACCACAGGGTTCTTTGGATTCGTGGGGCGCGTGTGCCAATCTTGACTCGTGGTCGCCATTTTTGTTCAGCGCTGTCTAGTTTCAAATTGAATGATTTTGGATGAATCCCAAACGACTAGGAACTTCTTACTCCTACTTCAGACAAGAAAATCCTTGAAAAGAAGATTGCTGAATCATGAATGCCTGAAGCAGAGCTCTGCAGACAATTGCACAGCGCAGTTGAGGCGAACTGGTCATGAGGCAAGTTGAGGCCCAGGGAGCAGTCTGCAAACTCGAGGCAATGCAGACCAAACTTTGCGACTCCGCGCACTAAATATCACAATTCCGTTTAGTGTGAAGATCCCGTTTCTTTCAAAACGACCACGTACTTGCTGTTTCCAGGGGTCAGATATCGGTTTCGTCATTGACCCCCGACTCCTGGATCGCCAAAACATTCTCGATTAGCCCCGAGTATTTTACACCCAAGACTCAGAGGACCTGCACAACCAGCTGTCGAAATGGATGGCCGAGGAGTCTTTCTTCAGCCTCCAGGAGTGTTCTGCATGCACATTGCAGAGAGCTGGGATCCCTGGCCCTGGGATTGCAGGAATGCTGGTAACGGCTGGGTGAAGCAAGGACCATGGCGGCCGCCATGCATTGTGTTGCAGGGACGGCGGGGGCGTGGTTGCCTGGTCACACTGCGGCTTTAGATCACGCTACCACTACTCCCCCTGCTTCTTTCAGCCCCTTCCCTCTGTCCGCCTCTCACCAGACCCGATTCCATTCGCAACTTGCGTCAGTATCCATTCTCAGCCACCAGCAGGCGTTCTCCCCAGTGGAGAAGAAGAGAAAGTTCGTTGCGGCTGGGGGGGTGCGAGCGCAGACTGTCTCAGCGCCCCAGGCGGAGATTGAGAAGGCGGCGGATGAGTTTGGGAAGCTGACGCAGGTGGCGGCAGTCCTGGGGACGCAGTGGGGGGATGAGGGCAAGGGCAAGCTCGTGGACATATTGGCGCAGAGATATGACGTCGTCGCGAGATGCCAGGTAGCGTCATCTTTTAATTGAACTCTATGTTTTCATTATGACCAGCCACTGATCAGAAGAGGTGCTGAGTCTTCGCCATTTAAGAAGAAGTAAGCGGCCTTAATTGGCAAGTTGCCAGGTGCCAGGTGAAATATCTTGCAGGCAGGCGCGTCAGTTGAGGTGAGCCGTCCCTGATGTGGCCGCACCTTTGATGATTTTGCAGGAGGCGTGGGCCTGGGCTTCCTCTGCACTTGACTTCGGTCACTGACTCTATATACTGGAGTGTATGTTGCCACAGGTTTATAATCAATGTCACAGACTCAACGGCTTGCGTTGACTAGCTTTTTCCTGCTCGATTGTGATTGTAATGACTGAGTAGTACTTGCTGCATGACTCCAACTTCAGTGGTTTGCCTTGAAAGAGGGCCAAGAGCGGACTTTGGAAAGAAGATTTCCGGCATGAAGGAGTTAGTCAAGTTCGCATGTAATTACACGATTCCGATTATGGGGCACCTACCCGCTTTCAAGCCATGAAAGTCAATTGCATGTTGTCCAATGGTATGCAATTGCAGGGGAACTTTGAGCCAATGCATATGTTTCTGCATAAAAGGACCTAGTTCTAGAGAGCATCATTGGGTCCTGGACTAACCTTAGTGCTTCTGTGACGTTCTAACCTTTATGTATATTGATTGCATCCTTCGTTTGTCCATAGGGCCCTTGTCCCGTGGGAAACTCGGTCTGAATTTTTTGAATCGTGGCGGTTGGGTTAGTCTTTCGTTGTACCAACTGCCAGACCTATTGTTGAGGGAGATCAAATTTCTCTTTTGTACTTGACAAAGCATCCACCGACTTGAAAATCCACATTGTTCTCAAAAGTGACGAGATTTGTCTTGCCCTGCTACTTCAACCAGTTGACAACGACGTGCTTCCTTCTTTTCAAAGTGTCTGCTTTCAAACCGAAATCTTTTTTTTTTTCCAACGCAGGCCACACGAATCACAGCAATAAGGGCCTGACGCATTGTCTCCAACCTTGTCTTACCACCAGCTTTGGGTATGTCAATTGAGATGAAACATTCGCTCCTTCCAGGGTGGAGCCAACGCGGGCCACACGATCTACAACGAGAAGGGCCAGAAGTTTGCACTGCACGGCGTGCCGTCCGGGGTGCTCAATCCGAAGGCCACGTGCCTGGTTGGAAACGGCGTCGTGGTGCACCTTCCGAGCTTCTTCGACGAGCTGGACAAGCTGCAGTCGCAGGGCGTCAACACCGAGGGGCGGGTCCTGGTCTCTGACAGGTGAATCTGGGATTCCATTTTCAGCACCTCAGTCTTTATGCGACAGATCGCTGCCGTTTGTCTTGGTCGGTTTTGACCAGATCTTTTTCGAGTTTTGATTTGAAGATCAGATGTCATTGTAGGTCCCTAATGCCGGATTGGAGTTCAAGTAAGTGTACTTGGCGCCAGCCCTAGTCCACTCCAGAGGCTTGCCCATGTTGTTCTGGCCGTCGCAGGGCTTTCGGGGCTTTCAACAGATTGCAGTGGAAGTGTGTAAGCACTACAAAAACGCGGCCGTCGTCTCTCCTATTCTAGCCTCACGGGGCATGACGTCAGCATTTCTTTTCTGCGGGCCGCACCTGCTGCTGTTCGACCTGCACAGCGAGGTAAACGCTTCTCGGGGCGATCCACAGGTAAACTCCCAAAAAGTCGTCAGAAGTTGGCAAGATTTCGTCACTTCCATTCCTACTCAACAAGCAGCTGATGTCAGCTTCGAACGATGACGTCAGCTTTTCGTCCCGTAGGGCGCACCTGCTCTTCGACCTGCACCGCGAGGTGGACGAGTTTGGGGCAGTGCGGCAGGTTCCGCTACCCCTGCTACTATGTCAAAAGTAGAGATGACATCAGCATCACCAAATGATAAAGTCAGCTTTCCATCCATGCAGGGCGCACCTGCTCTTCGACCTGCACCGCGCGAGGTGGAAGTTTCTTGGGCAGTCAGCAAGTGAACACCTCAACTCAGCAGAAACGTATTTGAGATTTTCTTCACCTCTGCTATTGCTACTTCGATACAAATATATAACATCAGCTTCCCAGGATGACGTCAGCTTTTCGTTCTCGCAGGGCGCACCTGCTGTTCGACCTGCACCGCGAGATTGACGGGCTGCGCGAGGAGGAGTTGGCAGGCGGCAAGATTGGGACGACCAAGCGCGGCATCGGGCCCGCGTACGCGAGCAAAGTCGTGCGCAATGGGATTCGCGTCGGGGAGCTGCGGCGGCCCGAGACGTTCAAAGAGAAGCTCAGGGTGAGTGCACGGGATGTATGAGAGATGAGGTTGCAAACACCGGAGAAGACGGACAAGAAGAAGGGATGACGAAGAGGAACAAGAAGCGAAGGGGAACAGCTGGATGGGACGTGAGAAGGACTAACCTTTGTGGGGTGTACAGATTCCCTATCCAAGCCCGTCTTGCTACTTTGTTAAACGATGATCTGCAACCGACCAGACGGAAAGGAAAACGCTACATAACGATGTTAGCAAGCATTGGAAGACATGAGTGGGGGACCGAATTTCTGGCAGGTCGCTCGGCTCAACAGCCGTTTGTTATCATGACTAGGTTTGTAAGTTCCGATTCCATTCAAGGTGAAGCACTGCAGCGTTCAAAATATCCTTTGGCATGCCGTTGTATCTACGATTCGACATCGTGCCGGTTGTACACCTTTCCCTGTAGAGGGCTTTTCGGTTTTACCGAGTCTTTTTCTTCGATTTTTAGCTCACATCAAGCTAACCGTCAGTTACAAAGGTATCAATTTGTTTGTGCTGACGTGGTTACGCATACCGCTGGCAGGTTATGTACGAGGACGCAAAGGCGCGCTTTCCTGGGTTGAACTATACGGAGGAGATTCTTTCGGCGGAGGCTGCACGGTATGTCGAGCTGGGGAAGCGGTTGGAACCATACATCACAGACACGGTGAGGCAGCGGCCAGTCGCAGGCCCTCTCGGTGTCGGCTGTGCACCTTTTTTGGATGAGAAAGATCAGGCTAGTTTTATGGGCTACTTCCGGCCGTGGGTCTTTTCTTTTGATTGTCGCTTTGGCGGTTTCAATGAAGCTCGAATGGATGGCAATGGATGGCAACAAGTTATTGAGGAGGCCTCTCGAGCCGCTGTTGTAGTGATGCGACCAAATCTGTGGTCGACGGTCGCATGTTGTGGTCTAAGAGGGGCTTTGCAGGCCCGATTTGACCGGCGACTCGACTCGATTTTTTAGGGACTGCACCAAGTTGTTGAGAGAAGAACGTTTCAACCCGCTCTTCAAAGTGGCACGATTACATGCGTTGTCGCGCGTGGTAGATTCTGCGTGCGCGGATTGGAAGCTCCATGATGATGTTGATAGATCGGCGCGGGCGCCCGTAATGTTTCACTGCCCAGCCGTGGGTCGTTAATACATATCACATCAGCGAGCGTCAGGTTCTTTCTTTGTCGATGATATGGTCCGTTTTTGTAGGAGACTTAGATAGCTGAGTTTGTAGAGCAGGCCGCTCTACTTCTATGTTGGGGTCTTCCCTTTGTGCGAACCCTTCGTGAGGTGCTTGTGCAACCAGATTCGCACTTGATCATGTAGGGCACCAAACACTAAGAATGTGCGAGCTACATGCGGCTTCAAGCCGGGGATCCTTTTGTCGGAAGGTTGTTCTAGGCCAGTTTGACGGTGCGGCCTCTTATCAAACCTGTCAGATTCCGTGCAATGCACAGAATGTCTGGGATGTGCGACCTGGCTGCAACTCACAACGGGGAACCCCTCGTAGGGTCGGTTTAGGCCTCTTGCACTTGTCAATAAGGGGTCGCGGAAGAGGTTTGAAACTGAAAACAAGCCTCTGACAGGCCCAAAGTCAATCACGTACTGCCGTCTTCCATACTCCTTCAAGTCTTCTTAAACATACCACCTTCACCAGACTTTTCCGGTTTTCGGTTTTCAAGCCGCAAGTAGGCAGGGACTCGGCATCTAGAGTATGAGGCATTTGAAGGCATCTCCTTCCTTCCCTTCTAGCATCGGGAATCCTGTATACACAATAAACATTCGGCTGGAAGCCCCTTATACGGCCCCCTCTAATCCCCATAGGTATACTACGTGAACAAGGCGCATGCGGAGAAGAAGAAGATCCTGATCGAGGGCGGCCAGGCCACGCTGCTGGACGTCGACTTTGGGACGTACCCGTTCGTGACGTCATCCAACCCGTCGATCGGGGGCGTTATCGTCGGGCTCGGCCTCGCGCCGCAGAAGCTGGGGGCTGTCATTGGTGTGGTGAGGATGCCCCCATAGAAGTTGTGGAACGATCCCTTTGTGAACATTTGGGGAGAAAAGTGAAAATGGTCGGAGGGCCTTTGCGCATGTCCTCAGGAAGCCCGTTCGTTGCTGTGAAACAGTCGCTTTGGTTGAGCACACTGGCAGGCAGAAGAGCAAACAGGGTTCCATTCTTGAGGACGATTCTCAAGGAACGTTTTATGCGCGATTTCTGAAAGTATGGAGCAGGAGACCGCTCCCACTTTCATCTCCGCAGCTTTTTGTAACGCCTCTCACAAGAAGCTGCGGATGCATGGTAGACAACTCGATTCCTGGAGTCCTCTCGTTCTCAAGCCGTCTCTTATGCTTGCCTGCAACATAGCAGCTCTGATGTCGAATGATTGAAACTGACTCGAGCCAAACTAAGATCCACGAATCTGATCCTAACCCAATTTCACACTCCAGGCAAAAGCGTACACGACGCGGGTCGGTGCCGGTCCGTACCCGACCGAGCTGCACGACGAGACCGGGGACCGGCTCCGGGCGAACGGGTTCGAGTTTGGGACCACGACGGGGCGACCGCGGCGGTGCGGCTGGCTGGACATGGTCGCCCTCCGGTTCGCGTGCGACATTAACGGGTTCACGCACATTAACCTGACCAAGCTAGATGTGCTGTCGGGTTTCTCAGAGATCAAGCTCGGGGTGGGCTATCGGGCGCCAGATGGAGAGGTGGTTCCGGCGTTTCCGGCGGATCTGGAGCTGCTGGAACAGATCAAGGTGAGGATCAATCCCGCATAAACCCTAAGCCCCTACAATATTGAAACCCTAAACCCTTTGAAATAGAAGTTGGTTGGAACAGATCAAGGTGAATATCAACCCGACGACATAAGCCCTTGAACCCTAAGACCCAAGAATATTAAGACCCTATAAGAGGAGTTTTTGGAAGGTGAGATTGGGCCCGGTTCAAAGCACGTTTGAAAGGATTGAATGGGTTGATGGTTTATTAACCGGCCAGTTTGAACGGGGGAGCTGATGGCAGCGTTCCCGGCGTCGGGAACAGATCAAGGTGAGGTTGCAGCCGAGGTACGGATATCGTTAAGACAGAGGAGGAAAGACAATTGTGGCCAATCTTAATGGATTGAGGCAACATGAGTCATGCAAAGTGGGTGGCATTTTACAAAGAACGAACAAGTCCTTGTTCTTTGCATTTGAGGTTGAACCATTTGTCTGCCGTGGGGCGTCTGATACATGGGAACTGTGTTTATCTGGTTAAAGTGGGCGTCCGATTTCAAAGGTCCGGAAATGCACACTCCGTGCATCTGAGTCTTTTTTTAACGGACCAGATTGCAAGTTCGAACAATCTGGGGCCTTACCACCGTAGATGGCCTAGGGGTGTCCATGCATGGCCTACGCCCACTTTAAGCAAGAGGCAATTGGGCTTTTGGAAATGAAACGTCAAATGGTCGTCCGGATGCAACCAGGAGAAGCAAGTACGTCGTTCACTGCGCCTGTAAATGTCAACAGTCGTTGCAGCCAGTGGGTCCCTTTCCGGGCTCATCGATTTGGGTCAACTACCGTGAGCGAAGGTTTGCCGAGGCCGGATTGTGCGTACATTTGTTGCGAAGGTTTCTTATGCATTCTGGCGGCTTGACTCCACTCGTATGGCAGCAGCCCCCGCATACTTGCTAGTGTCTCATTTGGTTGTTCAGCATCGTGAGCTTATTCCTGGCTCAAGTCGGAAATCGAGGGCTGGAAAAGATCAGGCCGTCAACTGGTGCAGGCTGCCCAGGGAGCTTCTTCTGATTTGTCTCACAATATGGTCTCCCCCTCGCTGCAGGTCGACTACGAGGTACTGCCAGGTTGGGAGGAGGACATTTCGGGGATGAGGAAGTGGTCACAACTACCAAAGAATGCGCAAGCATACGTACTGAGAATAGAAGAGATTGTAGGAGTCGAGGTGAAGTGGATAGGGGTCGGGCCTGGAAGGGACGCCATCATCACGAAGGAGTGAAGCTATTGACAATGATGGAAACGTAATCAACTTGAACTCAGCGTTGTTGTCCAGATTGTATCACTGGCATGCTTAGCTAGTATGTATTCACGGGCTGACTCGTATATTCCGCACCAAGTCCGGGGAGCTAGGCTGCATAGATCTAAATGAAGATTGAGACTTCACCGCCTACTTCTAAGTGCGGTGTCCGTGCCAAACACTTCACGAGGAGTTGCCAGACGAATGATGATCTAATTGAATGGTTAGCCCTTCAGATGGTCACTGCAAACCAAGTTGGCGCTTGGCTTAAAGCGCGCTCCAATGGCACATTCAATTGGAACTTGATTGCATGGCCGGATCGAGAACACAACGTGAGTGGCTAGAATAAATTCAATTCGGGCCCACACCATCAGATTACACAAGCTACCTATGGTGGGTCTCGACGGTATCGACCGCGCGACGGTCCGGTCTCAAATTTCTTACACCGGTGTTACGTGTCGCGACGAATTGTGTACGCGGCACTGACGACCGTACTCGGCAGTACTTGAGAATCAGGTCTGAGTTCATGAATTGAACTTTTTCTGACACGTCGATCAACGGTCAAGTGCGTACTATGCGGAGGTACGGTACCGCTCGAGTCTGCGCGTACATCGATTATGAAATTTATGGTCTTGGTCGGAACTTCCGACTTGAACCACGCAGGAGTACCGCGGTACCCAGACTGAAAGGAGAGTGCAGGAATTTGATAGAGCAGTGTAAGGAAAGGCGCTCTGCAAAAATCAACAATGGCGGCCCACTTTGCGCCTCCTATGCTGTTTCTTGAGATTTGTCCTGAACAAAACATGATGTTGGAGCTTCAAAGGACCTCTAATGACGCCCTTTCAACATTTTTTTTTGCTTGTCAAAGGTTTCTATAAGCTGCATAAGCCTCCTCATAGTGTGGCATTTTTATGCTTCTGTCAAAGTGTAAATCAAAACACTCTGTTACACCATTATGACACTCGGTTACGGCCGAGCAAGATTTTGAAAGTACTCGTTGGGTACATGTTACGGAAGTCCGAGTCGTCGTAACGTGAACCGCCGGTACTACTGACGAAATTTGATACCGGGTCCCACATTTTCGTCGCGGTTTGAGTCGAAGTCGACTCGGCCGGGACCCACCATAGGTAGCTTGTGTATAACATTATATGAGAATGATGCATATATATCATTATCGCAACTCGAAACGTCGGCAGCAGACTCGTCAATCATGATCGAATTGGATCGAATCCGATGGCAAAGTTGAGTTAAGTACAAAGATTGAGTTCAATATTGATACCGTATACCACGATCATTGAGGCGATGCCATGCATGTCATGACAGCGCTGCCGGCCCGGGCCCGCAGTGCCCACTGACCAATGACGGTTGCACATATGTGTCAACTTAAGTTCTCTTCATTTGGAACACCCGGCCAGTACCTAGGTGGCCCGTCAACACCGAAACAACTCGTGCGGTACTGAAACTTAGTAAGTTTCAATGGCCCCGGGTCCCCCTTTGCGCCACAAAGGGGCGATCAACCATGCTCGACTGGTGTTTTCGCAGTCTGATTACATAGCGCGGCATGACCCAGAAGCGAATTTGGTAAACCATCAGCAGACTTTCCTTCGGATGGTATAGTGAAGTGATGGCCCTTGAACAATGATACGAATGGCAGAGCCGGATTGTTGCCAACAATTGAATTGTCCTAGTACCCCAAGTCAGCTTGCTTTGCAGTCACATACAAAGTACATGCTTTACACGCTGTCATTGCTTCAAACCTTGGTAAGACGCCAATACGGAATGGTCGGTCCCAACCTTTTTACCGCACTAAGGTCCTAGCTTTTCCCACATTTCTACAGCCGTTTCACCCATCGATTGGAACGAATTCAAGCCAACATTGCCCAATTTCAGCGCAGCGCTGATTATCAAGGACAGTAGGACCCCTATGATCAGCAGATCGGACGTCAAGTCGTATTGCTCGTCGTCTGACAGGCCGTCGTTGTCGAAACCCTGCAACAAGGGGGCGACCATTAGATGCGCTTCCAGATTTGTGGACAGAAACTGGTCAGGTGGATAGCGCACTTTTTGGGGCAGGTTGAAGCCCACTCTCATGCACTTCAGTTGCGATCAGTCCAAGCATGGTTCAAAGGAGAGTCGAGCACCTGTCTTCCTCAGCAACAAGGGGATCAGAGGGATGTCGATTTAAGGATTGTGAAAGAGCGGGCTTCTGATCAAATATGAACGTGCTCAGCCGTCCCTGACCACTTCGGCTTCATGCATAAAGAACCAGTTTTGGACGGGAACTTCGTCCAAAGCCCGAGCAGAGGACTCTGACTGCATCAACAGTCTTCTCCGCAAACAATAGTGACCAATCATTCTACCTGTCAACTCTCCAGCTTCCTTGTCCCAAACTTCATCCCTCCGAACGATATGGCTTACAGGACCACAATCTGCTCAATCAGCCCTCGGCTCGAGTCGAACTGACCCGCAACTGCCTACGGCTCTTCACCTTCAATCTTACCAATCAGGGATCAAAGGCTGGACGTGTGCAGAGATCGCTTGCGCAACGTGAGCCAACTCGTTGCTCTTCTTTAAGCTTCTGCAGCTTGCCATCACGCAGCTGATCACCGCGAACGCTTACAGTGTCCAAAATCCGAGAACGTGAAACAAATTACTGGTGCGGAGAATACCCACCTGGACCTTGCGAACGTCGGCCATCTCCCCGACTTTTCGCTCCGCCTCCAACCGCTTGACTCCAGAACCGTCTAGCGACATCTTACTATCATAAAGGACCACGTGACCAAAGGAAAACCCAAAGTGACGCCACGAGACGTTACCTGCCTCTCCAGATTTTGAGATTCAACTCGAGCCTTCTATCGGACTTGAACACCCAAATGGATTTCATGAACTGAGAATTCCGAAGGCAACGTGAAAGCCTCCGCTCGGAACAAGGAGGCGCTTGCCGCCTTCTGATTGCACGTGAGCACAATCTGACAAAGAGCACAGATCCGCAGTCGTATATCACAGATGCGTAAACCTCCGTCTTTGCTGCACTAGATCGGGCTTTTTTCATCTGCCTTGGAAGCCTCAAGTTCAAAACGGATACTCCAAAGCCTTCGCGAGACCCATCCATTCGAAAGAATGAAACGATCGCCGGCTGCCTGACCGTTTTGCTATGGTCACCACAGCTCGACCACATGTGCCAACTGCAAACTTCACAACATCTCAGTTGATTCGAAAGAAGCATCGGAAAAAGTCCAAGGAAAGGCAAAGGAGAAAGGAAGGAAAAGTACACAGAAATGCACCCACCGAGAAGAGAGTGGGATCGGCCTCCTCCTTGAACTTCTGCTCCGTCTCTGCGGCAAGGCGCTGCGTCATGTCCACCTCGTACGGCCACACAAACGGCGCATCCCCGACAGCCTGATTCGCCAGCCCGAAGTCGTAGAAGCGGCGGCTCTCCGGTTCCCGCAACTCGTCATAAGCAGCCTGGAGGACACAACTTAATCGGCATTCTCTCAAGAGACCAGGTTTGAGATTCCAAAATATCCGGGAGTATTGGACCTTGAGATTTCGATTTGTGGCCACACGAGCTTTCGCCAGCTCGACGTCGTAGATCAGGCGGCTCTCCGGTTCCCGCAACTCGTCATAAGCAGCCTGGAGGACACCACGTATTCATCACTTTTCTTGAAGTGGCAGGTTTGAGAATACATGAGGCTGGAGTGTTGGTTCTCTATATGTCACTTGGCGGCCAAAGCAGCGGTACTGATCGCCAGCCCGAAGTCGTGGATCCGGCGACGCTCTGGTTCCCGCAACTCGTTAGGGGCCGCCTGGAGGACACCACTTAATCATCACACTCTCGGGATGTCGAGATTGAGAATACATGGATCTGAGAATGTTGCCTCTTAAGATCAAGATTCTTGGCCACACCAGCGGTACCTTTCGCCGGCCCGAAGCCACTAGCCGGCAGCTCTTCGGTACCCGCAGCAAGTCGGGAACAACCTGGAGGACACCATTATTTCTGAGATAGATGTTGAAAGTCGTATTCCGGATGTGTGTTCTTTTAGGACCTATGAATACCCGGGGGTTCAGGATGCGGCCAGATACGGCTGCTTCCGATAGTCCGGAAAGGTGGATCCTTCAGCTCGTCATACGCAACCTGGACCAGATGAACGATCTTTTGTACAGGTCGCTACCTGTTGCTAGCTCTTGAACTCTTTGAACCAATCAATCAAGGAGGGACCCATCCGATCTGACCAGCTCGAAAGTCAATTGAGACCATGTAGCATCAGGCTTCAGCCCATTTTGACTTATGCTTGCAACCTGCACGCGGATCGGCTCCCCAAGCATCTAAGGTTGACCTTGGAAGTGGTCATAACGGTCTATATTCGCCCTGATCACTTGCGTTTCGTGTCCAAAAGACTCACCTCAAGGGCCTCCAGAGGCTCTTTCGCATCGGACCCCACTTTTTCGTTGATCTGCTTCTTCCTCGCCTTGTAAGCCAAGTGGATCTTTAAGGAGGGACAGGAGAAACGAATCAAACTACTAGATCGACCTTACGACCTTAAAACATGCGCAAGACACTGGTTCGGATATGAGCCTGACGGTGCCTGCATATTATAATTAGACACGAAAAGTTCCCGGATCATAACCAGAACGCTGTCCATCTGGCAGGTCAAGCAAAGGAGGTAGCTTGATGGAGCAATCGGTTGTCAAAATGAGAAAATGCTTTTCGAAAGGATATCATGGAATGCCAAGTAACCAGCGACTATGAAGCCCTGGTTTAGGTCTGGATGTCTTCAAAGTGGGGTGTCGACCAAGCCAAGCAGACAACTCAAGTCCCTACAAAGGCTATCAAAGGCATGGTTCTTCATCGGCAGTTTCTCTCAAAGAGTGGACAAGGGGAGAAATACCTTCTTGACAGAGAACCTTCTAATCAAAAAGAGCTGGTAGATATTGTTTCAGGCGTTTTCTTCATCCAAGACTGGAAGAGCTGTGTGGGGGAGCTGCTCCTTTGCAGTTACAGTCAATGACTGGTCCTAAGCTAGCTTCTACGACCTTCGATGGTCCAAGGCTTCTCCTTGCCAGCCCTTGCCTTGCCGTTTGGACATTCAGTGCTGGATACGAAGTTACTCCTGGGAGAAGCCAGCAATGCAGATAGACGGTTCAAAGACAGAGCAGATGCAACGATTTGAAAAAAAAGACATGGGGCCTCACATCGTCAGTGCTTGCTTCCCTGGACACCCCCAGGATATCATAGAAGGTGACAGGCTGGGCTTCTGCAGAAGAATGAAGCAAGCTGTCAATGCAGAGGAACATCTCACCGCTTTGCTATATTGACAGACATGCGATTGAGACAGACTCTATCAAGGAAGCACCGATAGTCTATTGATAAGGTCCATGATCTGTACCTTCGTCTAGTACTAGAACAACTTCATTTGACCTCATCCACTATCGATCGACCGATGCAATAGATGAACCAGCAATGACCATCGGTGCTGACAAGAACACCAGAGAGTGAGAAGTGCACAGAAGGGCCAAGATCAAGAAATGTCCACCTCAAAGCATAGGACCTTTTCTCCTCCGCAAAACATTTTGTTCCTCCAACTCATTGTGCTAACCCTAATGCGGCTCGGCTGACCGAACCTTTTGAGCTTTTAGTCGACCAGCAATTAAAATCTAACGGCTCCCGCAAAAGAAGCGGAAGAAGCTGTATCAAGTCAGCGCTGCACTTGCTGACCTTGTCACAGGACTTTGTTATACTGCTCCCGTGGCATAACGCCACTGATCAGCTTTTTGCAAGCTCATAAAAGCAATGCATCCAAAGCTGACCTTTTAGGAGGATTTGTCTTACTCTTCTTGTGGCATGACATCACCAATCCGATCTTAGCAAGCGCGAAATAAGCAATGCACTGCATTGCAGATTGAGCAGAACCGCATTCTCACCGGTTTTCACTGATGTCATGTCACTGGTTGCTCTGACCTGCCCCGACAGAGGCAATGACGATCTGCGACCTTTAACGGCCATCCGATGCCCTGATAGACCAGGAACCTTATTTCCAAACTGGCCTCTTGACTTCAAACTGCAAAATCTAGCTCTATTTCCCGTTTCCAATGACTTTCCATTGCTGACAACGGGATGCTGAAATGCAATGGCAGGCGCCGAGCCAACCCATCGCACTGCTGCTTGCATGCTGGTGGACTGATGAAAAGACTTGATTAAAATTCCAGATCAAAAGCTTCAATTCAACGCGATTTCAAGCTGCTATTTGCCGACGTTGAGAGTGGAACATTCTCCTTTGATAAATGAATGTGCGCGCATTCTCGCATTTGCTCAGCTGCATGTCATTGTAGTACGCCGCTATTACAACTTACCACTGCCGGCTCTTCTGAAAGCACAGCTCTGAGCTTTGCCTCTCCGACTGTCTCAAGTTTAGGCGACAAACGTTCTTCACATTTCGGCCCATGAATTTGCGGCATGCAATTTGCTTCGGCCGCGCGCGTCGGGCCGGCAGGCCGCGGCCGCGCTCAGGCGGCCCGTGCCATCACATGGCATGCTTTGGCCGCAGCTGGCCCCTGATTGAATTTATCACCCGAACTAGTTACAGAATTCAATATACGCGCTCTCAAGAAGGCACTTATACCAAGTTCTGGAATTATTGAATGCTGTTTTGTTAATACAAGACAAAGAATTAAAGATTAAGTACACATCTCCTAAATCCTCTCTACTTACTTTATAGGCACCTGGACCCCGAGCAAGAATGGAAATATCTTGGGGGGCCAGGTGGATCCAACGGCTACGATTGCACCATCTTAACACGTTTCTCACGTGGATAGAATGTCAGGCGATCCAAGCCGTCGGAAGTGGATATCAAGGATCCTGTTGACAATGCAGCAAACAAGGGGGTACCGTAGTAGAGGCGAGCTGAGCTAGAATGGTAGACAAGAATGGTGATGAGCATGGAGGAAATGAGCAAGGAGTTGTGAAGCATTGCAAGGCAAGAGATGAGGGCCAATAAAAAATTCGAGCTCCAATAAGGTCTGACGCATTGGGCACTGAGCACGAAGGTGTCCCCCTGCTGACCTCCGCTCCGCACAGCCTGCACATCATTTCGGAGCAATGGCACTCTCGTCGGTCTCTCTTTCGCAATCCGCCAGTGCGGCGTGCTTTGCGTCACATTCTGCCTGTCGGATGGCACCACATTCATCCCTGCTTGCTGGGAGCTCGCAATTTGTAGCTCTCTCTTGCTTTCTCCTAAGAGAGGGCTCTGTTAGGAGGAAGCTGGAAAGCAGACGTGTTGGATGCACTGGCTCAAGGGCACAACTTGGTGCTGACGTGAGCACACCCACAAGTGTTAGGAGGGACACGACGCCAGCAATTGGGCCAGGCAAAAGCGAGAGAGAAGAAGACCGGAACAGCCAGCCGGCGGAAGAGCAAAGATTGGTCCCTGCTGGCGACGGAGATGATCCAGAGGCTGTTGGAGCAATCAGCCTGTGCTTGGACGCCATTGGAACAGTAAGTCGAGGAAAAATGTACTACTGACAACTCCATTGGCCAGCCATTGATTGTTTTGGGCAATCATGTGTGCCAGTATGAGCTCTGAAGCGCTCCTCCTGCTCCTTCAACGTGCAAATGGGGCAATCAGATTGAGTGATTAATCTTGACCTAACCTAGCCCCAGGCTCGGTTGCAGCAAGACTTGTTGAACTTCACTTAATCTTCAGACCTTTAACCAGATTTTGAGGGACCCGGACCTGATCGATGGTGTCACTCTACTTGAGCTGCTGGGATAGTGTCGTTGAGTGCAATCAAATAAAGTCCATCTCCTTGTGGTTTCCTACTAGATCAACGACACTGTTGGCATGCTGGCTCGCTTATAGTGCATGGAAAATGCGATTTGCCTTTCTTTTTGCAGCTTTTTGTCTGGTGAAGTGATTGAGCTGAATGCACATTCACAAGCTACAGTTGTACAGATCTGCTTCGGCATCCTGGTGCAGATGATATATGAAGTCACTGTAGCAAGAAATGTCTGAGTGCAACTGAAGTACAAAGACAGTATGATGTCAAAGGTCACATCTGTTCTCAAAAGAGCCAGCAAGACTGTCCGTTTACCTAAGGCAAGTAACATTGTTGTTAACCTGACAATGTGCAGTGTGGTTTGACAAGGTGAGAAAGGAATTTTGACGAGCTGCCCTTCTCATGAAACTTATCCAATGCTGAAACCTTCTCTCAATGCAGATGGACATAGACGAGATGGAAGAGTGTCTAGCAATGGCAGACAGCTTGAGCGAGAGAAAGAGCAAGGCGTCATCTTGAACGGGTGAGAGCCCTTAATGCATAATGTATATTGTAAGAACAAGACATTTGAGTTGAGCAGTAGCTGTACATCATGGGGGGTAGTCTAGAAGTAGATTTAGATTGTAAAATGTGTTGCTAGAACGAGTTGCGTTGGCAGATTTGTTCTGTAATCCGAGTTGACTTTGGGTGATGAAGGCAATGTGTATGCCACTCTTCGAGCAATATTTGCTGAAGCTCACATGCTCTCACATGCAAGTGCGAAGTCTTGTCTCAAAGTGCCAACGTGTTCATTGAGCGTCAGGTTGTTTGTATGAGTGGAGGATGGTCATTTGTGCATGTCTATCACCCTTCATGACCTTGTTCATGCATTGGGCAATACTCTGGTGAGCCAATGGTTCGAGGAGTCAACAGTTAAATCCATAGTCGAAACTCTTAGCCTGCAACAACAGGCTAGCGAAGGCTTTAAGAAGATCAGAGGCCAATGGCGTGTGTTTTTGCATATTTACTGGCATCCGAATTAAGGGACAATTCGAGTGGGGGCCATACCTAGTGTCAGTTTTTAGCTAATGGTGCCCGGCTTGCACTCACCGGCCCGGAGCCCCGCCGTTTAATTGTATTGATTAGGCATATGTTTGATGAAGCCTGACAGTGGTCCTCCTAACTTATAGCAAGTCCTCTGTGGCACTTTCGGCAAGCTACCGTATGATCATGAAGATCTTGGCGGCATGATCATGTGGCATTCCAAATTTGCCTGTAAGCTACGCGCTTTACGTTTTCAAAAGTTGCATCGTAGATGGCATGTGCATCATCATATACATGGCCGTACAAAGTATGTTTTGCAATTTGAGCTGCAATGATCATCATCGCCACTCCGTTATATATTGAGAAGCACGAATGATGATGGGAATTGCAAATGCAGAAAATACCCAAGTTTATAGCGAAAGCTGTACATAGATCGCGACCGGTATTTAGCGAGCTTTGTTGTGGGCCGTCAGGAATCAGATCCTGGCAACAAATATCCCATCTATCTCCCGCTACTAATAGTCTCCAGCATCATGAAAGCAGTGATCATGAGAAAACATAACAATTGTATGGTTGTCCGTAGAACAAACGGCTTGAGGCCGGGTCTCTGTTCACTCGCTTTATCTAGGCCTACTTTTGAAGTCCAGAGAAGAATCAACTCATTGCTTTGATACACACGCCGAGGAAGCCTTTTCTCCTTCAAACCTTCAACATAGAGAAATCACAAGGCTCCAAAGACTAATCCATTATCTAGGATTACAGAGATTCGATACAGACCTATCGCTCGTTACTCCTCATGAGCAGACTTTGCCTCTATGCTCCACACACCTGAACCATGTGACATTGTAGAAACGGTCAAAATTGTGTTGGTGCCCTCTAGCTGCGTACCGAAAATCGCCTGAGGACAACCAAAGCCAGAGACCTTCATTCGAGGTCCCTGCTCTATGTCATGCTGGTCCTTTCAACAAAAGGATAGTGCCATCTGGAACTTGTGCTCCTTTCGATACCTAAGCCTGAGGCTTCATGGGGATGGGGCGATGCACTCCCTGCAAAGATAGAGAGACAAACTTTACAGACGACATGAACAACATCGATGTAGATTAGCTTCCAGCCTGCATCAATGATTACTTTAAACTGACGGCCGCTGAAGCCATGCAGCATGGCTGGGATGTCCATTGCCGGAGCAAAGGCAAATCCTGAAACTCCTGGCTCTGTTTCGCGGTAGCTTGCATCAGAATGCTCATGCAAATTTTGAACCACCAAAAGCAAGACCATTTCCGTCTAAGAGACAAGTGCACAAGCGCCTGAAGCACAGTTGCTGTCAAGACCACTTTTTACCCCATCCACAAGCTTGCAAGTGACTCTCATACCTGCACGTTTCTGGCCTTCATTCCGCACATCTCAACGGTGGGACCCGACTTCTTGGCGCGCTTCTTGGGTGCTGCCAGCTCCCCCTCTGCCGCGGCCTCCTCTTGGCTCGTCCCCGCTCCCTCTGTACCTTCCACCTCCGCAGACAGCTCACGCTCTTGCTGGGGGGACCCCAGAAGCTCTCCTTCCGGAGCAATCTCTTCAGAAGGCCTGGCAAGACACAGAGGGAGCCAGTTACGCATCAGAATATTCAGTGGCCAGTTGATATATTCAGTGGCAAATAGAAGCAAAACTAAACATTTGATGATTACAAAGCAAAGCGACTCCTTTTATGATATCATGATCAGGAGCTGAACCTCAAAAACGCCTGCGACGAGAAGAGGGTTTTGCAGGAGCATCACATGTATAACATGAACCAGATGAGATTAGCTGGCTCTGCCTAAATCTGCATCTAAGCAACAGCTCAAAGCAACACACTCAATGTGCCTCGACAATGAGGGCAGCACTTTCCAATCACCCCACCGACTCCTATAAACACAGTTCTTCATCTCCACAGACAAGCGGCGAGCGCAACAGGAAATCAAGCAAGAGAAGCCAGCGCTTTGCACACGGTCAACAATGAGAAAGTCGTTGACCGGCAAATGGTGGCGCCGTGAGACAACCTAGGCTAGCAACTGACCCTGGCGCGACTGCCAACTTCCCGTCGTCCGCCTGGGGGCCCAGTCCCTGCTCCTCCGCCACTGGCGATGGCATCCTCTGCAGCCCATTCTCCAATGGTGATGGCATCCTCTGTAGCCCATTCTCCAGCAGATTGTGCATCGACCCGTTCCCAATCGGCCGCTGCCCCATTGCTTGCTGCTGCATAGGCGCCATCACCTGCTGCATTGGGGCCACCGGCGCGACAGGCCGCAGGCCCTCTGTCATCATCGAGCGCAGAGACATCTCTGGGATGACCATGGGAGCGGTGGACGCCCCAAAGAGCGGCGACCCCGGAAGCGACCCCGGCAGGAGCGCTGCCTGCAGGTATGGCGCAAACTGGCTCTTGTTCCCGGTCATCTCCTCCAGGCCGTGGTGCCCGGCCTGCATGTCGCTCTCCTCGCTGACGCTGCGCTCGCGCTTGTTTCCCGTCAGCTGAGTTGCCCCGCCAGTATTCGCCATCTTGGAAGCGGGAGGGTCGAGCATCGCAGTGGGGGGGGACGGCCCTGGAGTCGCAAAAGGGCCCCCGCCGAGCCGCTCGAGCTGCTTGTGCAGTGCACTGATGTAGTCGTACACCTCTTCCAAAAAGGCGGCGGTGTTGGCGCGGGCGGAGTGGGGGACCAGGCTTCGTAGGGCCTCCAACCTGGCAAAGACAGGGGAATGTTCACACCATGAGTGTCTACACTATCCGTACCAAGGCCAGCATACATACTTCAGCCATTGCTTATTCCGAGAAATATTAGGGTTAGGCTGCACGCTAGTGTGCTTCCAGCTGATAAAGTGCACATGTCAACCGTATACAGGAGAATGCTCGGGTTAGGCTGGCTTAAATGTCACGCAGCTAGTGTTAAATACGCACATACTACTTTCTGCTCGTGAGCTTTGTTTGTTGGCAGACATGCCAAGCAAAACAGCCCCTTCATTTCTTATTACTTTCAACCAGCTCTATGACCAACCAGCCAGCACACCAGCCAACGAGTACACATTATGCATGCTCCTAGCTGGCACAAGGTCCTCATTTGCAACTTGGATACCAGTAGCAAACTGACACCTTGTATCTGAGTACAGCAATGAAAGCAGCGCCTAACAGTCTGCAACAGGGAGGGCCACTCAACAAAGTTGAAGGCCACAGAGTGTTGTAGCTCCTTCAGAGAGCTTGAGGCAGCTCCACCAACTCAGAAGCAGAGGAATATTGGGAATGCCACCGCAACACTGATAAAGGTTCCCGCAAAAAGCTCCACAAGCAGCTCCTTGCACTTGAGAACTGAGAGAGAACACAAAGGAAGCCAACGAAAAGGAGTCCCCCCCTCAGCTGGGAAGTGAACCAAATCAGCCAGTGCGTGCTACCCCAATTGAAGAGGGCCAGGGACTGGCAGATAGAACTTTACATGAAGACTGTCAAAAGCCCCTCCAAAGAGTCACCATGTCGTGGTTCAGACAATCAAAGAAAGATGAGAGATACATGCTCCAACACCTCACCGTTCATTGATACGCGCTCTTCTCCTCTGCTCTGCGGCCATGTGGCGGGACGCACACACGCCGCTCCTTGTCCCAGTCCCCCCATGACCTTTGCCGTTCATCTGCATCCCATGGGGATAGGGCATCCCCTGGCCCTGGAAGATCTGCTGCACCTGCTGCATCTGCTGAGCGGACCCCATGAACGGATAGTGCCCCTGCAACAGAGCTGCATTCGCCATGTCGGGCCCGATGGGGCCCACCGCAACTAGACGCGGGGACTGCATCGACTGCATCCTGTCTTGCATATGCCTCCTTCCCACGGTCGTTGTCTGGTATTCTTTTGAAACTCCACTAACAGGCTAGAAGGTCAGAGGAGCTGGTTGCACTCAGACGCCCAAGGAGGACCCCGCCCCAGTTTAGCACTTCCCTTCTTGCGGCGCCCTGCCGACTCGTCAGCTAGCTAGAGAATCTGAATCATGCATGCTGGTCGAAGCTGGGTCAAACTTAAAGCTGGGGAAGGGGAAGTCACCACGAATCTGTTTCGCAAGCGGTTTGGTGTGTGGAGATCTGTGGTGCGAGACCAATTGTGGGCTCGGAAGTCACACACAGGATTTGGATTCTTCTAAGTTCTCCCCACTCTCACGAGAATCACATGATCAGCGTGGCCCGCACCTGGAAGCACGTGGATCCCACCTCAAACCTGCTGTGAGCTTTTGGAAAGGTGGTATCCGCGCTGTTTGAATATGCATGTATTTGGTCATGCCCGACGTCGTACAGTGCATTGTGGCAGCCGCCAGCGAGGACCCACGTGAATTTGGATGATGAACCGGCTGACACCATCACGTTTTGCGCGCGCGAGGTGCATTCTAGGTACGGTAGTGCGTACTACGTGCGTACCTCCCGGTCCTAAGGTACCGTGGTGGCACGACCCTTTCACACCAAAAATAATTATTCTGGGCTTGTGTGAAAAAAATAAATAATTCTGAACAGGCCGGTGTGAAATAGTGAAACAAGGAAAAGCTGGTTAGGGTTGCAGGGTTGTGGTTCCATGCAAAAAAACAAGGTTTGTACTGCTAACTTCCTGGGGTTTGCTCTTTGGTGTGAAAATTTGAAATTGGTCGCTGGGCTGGTGTGAAAAAATAAAAGCGAAAAAATAATTGTTCGCAGCGAGGAGGTGTGAAAGGGTCGTGCCACTACGGGTAGGTACCCCCCTGCCAGGTGGTGTTACCGGTACGTACCTGCTTGGACCGATTCGCGCCTTCTAAGAAGGTACTAGCCGGTAGGTACCTTCCAGGAAATTGAACCCTAGGCAGGTGGGTACTTACCTAGGTAGTACCGTAGAGGCCCAAACCAGGTTCCGTAAGGTTCGTCGATCCCGGTACCCAACTACGTGACCTAGGTACCTACTACCGGATCTCTGCATTCTCGCATTCGCGGGCCGACCCTGTGCAACAAAATCGTAATTCAGCACAATGCATTTGATACCTCATTCAAGTTGGCACTCCAGTTTGCAGCATGGATAGCGCCTGGCAGGCGTGCATAAAGTTATGCCGGCTGTGTGCGGTTAGGAACATTTGTTCGAGTTGCCTTGTTCACAAACTAGCGCGCACGTCAGCACGTATATAGCAGTTAATTCTGCATTGTCACCGGCTTTTGGACATATCAGTCAGGATATATACCCCTATGAATGTTATAACACTTCTGACCGCGTTCAACGGTATAATTGTCTCCCTACTAATTGCAAATGATGAAATGATATGATGAATTCATATGGTGCAATTTCGTTATGATCCATTTGCAACATTCGATCAAGAGTGTGATTGCCGAAGTTCACCGAGGGGATGCAGGAGCCTAGCTGAGAAGCTGATCAACATGAACTTGCAGCCAGTAAGGAGTCTGAAATATGTCAAGAAGAGCGCTATTTTCATTTCAACATGCATGGATTAGATCCGATCCCAACTCAAGTACAAGCAAATACATGGCAGCTTACCGTGCGATATACAACCGTGTCATGCCAATTGCCATTCTTAGACATGCATGACATTTGAGGTAGGTGCAATAACCCGACAGTGACTAGCTAAAGGCCACGATTACGCTACTTGGCTTGCTGCAAGTGCCCATGACAATCGAAATTTATGCTGGCGGGCGCGCATATTGCCGTGCATGCAACTGGCAGGAACTCACAACACTTGCATTATAAAGCCAGACTCGAATCTGGAGTGTCCTTCTGAAGGGTCTAGGTCATAGCCATGCTCAAGCAAGCCGTTGAATTGGATTGCAGATACGCTGTTTGAAAGGCCTCGTCCTCATGTAACCCCATGCGTCAACGAAGGAAGCCTACACAGACCACCTTTAGGAACTCTGATCATAGAGTCTTCGAACCTGCACGAATCATATGCAGATCGAAAAGTCAGACTTCATGTTTGGAGAGCATGAGCGTTGAGGACGTGTGAGTACTTCGGGTTTAAGCATTTTGACTCGTAACCGTTTCCAACACAAACGAGCAGATGAACTGAAAAGGAAAATTTTTGTAGATCAAACTGTTCCTCGCCTCGCCCTGTTAATCTTTGAATAGTGTGAAGCATTGGCCTCCTTCCACCAACACAGAATAATTTGATTCAATGTAAGCTCTTCATAGCTCGAAATGCTCATTTCAAGAACCCGGAAAGAAAGTGAGGCAGAAACCCGAGTCAAATATGCAAGAAACAAGTTGATGAAACGGAGCCGGCATGGCTCAAAGCTAGAAGACTTCAATAAACAAGCTTCCTGCTCCGAGGGAGCCCTCTTCATTCGAGCGCATATAGCAACAAAGAAAATAAGAAGGAGCGAGGGACGAAGAGAAAGGGAGAGATGCAGCAGATGTAGTCCGACCGCGATCGCTTGCACTTTCGTAACGGCCGAAAGCAAAATGCAGATAAACAAGCGCACAACCAGAATGGCCACAAGAGTATCTAACACGCCCCGTACTCATACGGTCACGCATGCCCGTCTTGGCCCCTCCCCTCATTTTAAAATTCATTTGGGCCTTCTTGAGGGCGCTGGGGGCGCTGAACATGGTAAAAGGACGAAAATCGCCCTCGGGCAAGAGGAACAACAGAGATGCCTCCACAGAGAACAATACCCGAATTCGGAAAGCAAGACACGTGATCGATGAGCAATAGAGGAAAGATATAACCAAGGCTTACTTCCGTGGTAAAAAAAGGTTACATATGAGGAAGCAAAATAAAGCCCTACGGAACCCGGCCAAAGAGGACATTCATTTTAACTTTGCAACGACCGAAAATGGCAGACCTAGCCTCACCTCGGTTGGGAAAGGATCCTCTTTGTGGAAGTGAAGGACAGCCGTACAAAAGTGGTATAAAATGGATATCCAGACTGACTTTGCGACGACCAGAAGCGATGACGAAACCCGGGCGCACCTCAGTCGAGAACGGGTCTTCTCCGCTAGCGCACCGAGCAGCCCTCGCAAGGACCTCCCTCACGAACGCCTCGTACATCTGCGAGCCCTGGAAGCCGTTCAGAAACGCGGCCGTCTTCTTATCCCGGACGCTCTCCACGAACGTCCGGTGGTCGAACCACAGGTGACACGTGGCGGACGGACCCCCGAACGGCGAATCCGGGCGTGCCACGTGCCCCCCCCCGTCGAAGCGGACGAAGCGTCGGTACCAGCCGAATAGGGAGAGGAAGAAGCGGAGGAATGCGTCGCGTGCGGCGGGGGGGGAGAGGTGTGAATAGGCGGCCCGCAGGTTGGTCTCTAAACTAGAGGCGGGATCTTTGGGAAGTTCTTTGCGGTCGGGGAAGGAGGAGAAGAGCGACCCAAGGCCCAGGTCGAGCACCACGATGTCGCCCAAAGAAATGTCCTCGCTCTGCAAAGAAAAGCGGGATAGACAGAATCAGGGTCAACCACGTGCCATTGAGAAGTGCAAGTCTTCAGCCGACACGGTTTCGATTCAATGATCAGAAACATCTGGCCTGAGGACGAAGAGACGCCCCGTTAAGGTTTGGCATTCTGAATCAATTCTGGTATGATCGAAGCAGAACACTCAACGGCAGTCCGAAAACGCAAAGAATGACACATGCCTGTCTGTTCAGGTGCGGAGGTAGCAAGATTACGCGCTTACTTGCAGCTTCTGCCACGTGGCACTCTGTACCCCAACGAGGAAAGGCATTGGCGCCGACAGGTAATGCAGAAACGCCTCCGGAAGGGTCTGCAAAAAGAAGGGCACACATATAGAAAACCTTCGTAAGTCTCCAATCTTCGAGCCTCCTTGAGTGACTATGTTCCCTAATGAGAATCTTACAGGTGGTCAGGAACTAGAGGAGCGACCCGATAGATGGTCAGCTGGCCACCTGCGCAACACGGGTGCTTGTTGCGCGCGAGTCAGCTTGTATGAAAGCCCACAACGAGCGAACATCGACAATCCTGCGAGAACACTTGAAATGTGCCAGCGCACTTGACTTGCATCTTTATGGACCTCCTAACGTCTCGAGCGGGGTCTTAAACGGCAGGGCGACAGTTGAACCGTGGTAATAGAGGTTGGAGGCTTGATCAGCAAAGAGCCAAATCATCGAAGTATGAATATGTACCATTAGAAGCTGACGACCCCTTTCTCGAGCGAAGTACAAAGTGCCGAGGCCAAAGAGAAGCACAAAGAGACGCTCGTTCCGATTGCAATTGAGACACACACCAGCAGGTCTGATGTAGCGACCCCTGTTCAGCTCAGATGCAATGATTCTGCCAAGCAAAGACCAAGGTGCCCTTCCAAATTACACTGCGCACATGGCAAGAAATGTTGCGGTCGAAACTGCACTGTTCTCTCCCACGGTCAACCGCTCCCTTCTTGAAGCCCGCAGTCACGAGGAAGAACGTTGAGCAACTCAGAAAAGCTTTCAAAGGCTCTGAAACCGGGCGGATTACTTACCGGTAGAAAGATGTGCTGCCATTGGAAGGGGTGGAGAATGGCCGCGAGAGCGAACACGGCGCCGCTAACGTCACCGGGGCTCGGTCCGACGATAGCGATGCGTCGTTCGCGCAGGAGAGCCGCAAGAAGGGCCACCAACTGCGGAAAAACAGAAGGACTGGTCAGACACACAAGAAATGCCTCAAGATTGTTCGCTCGCAAAAGCAGAAAGATTTGTCAAACTGGTTTCGGATGTCTCGTTCTGCATTGTGAACGGGTTTGGTCGAAATTACGATTCCTTCTGCTTGAATTTACGGAGCATGCTTCTGACGCGAAACGGGTTTTCACCATAACAAGCGTAACAAGCGGGACGTTCTTCCGGAGAATAGGAGCGGTTTCGAGGGGTTCCTCACATGGTCAAAACCCGTGAAGCACGAGAAGAATCATCAATTACATACCTTGGAAGAGAAAGAGGCGTTGCTTGAAAGCGGACACATGACCCAGGGCCAATCCAGCGGAAAGCAACATCGTTGAAGAGAATATACACTTTAGAAGATTCAAAGAGTTGGAGGCGTAACACGAGGGTTTTCGACCAGGCGGGCTCCCTTTCAGAGCCGTCATCTACATTCAACCTCCTCTCTTGACACCAGGATGAAGTCAGCTAGATGAGGGTTACGACCAAGAATTATAGACAGAAGCAAACGTGAGTTACTTCAACAAAGGGTTGAAAGTGTATATGCATCTGAAAAGAGCCACTACTGGTTGCCAGTATGCGATCGCGCCATGAGTTGGTGAACGCCAAGACCCAAAAACCTCCAAGACTTGGCATGGGAATGCCAGCCGACAAGAGGGGGGCGGTAGAACCAAGTCAGTCGCAAAGTCGACCAATGATACTCAGAACTTGACTCCCAGGTGTCCCACACTCACTACTTCCAATGGGAACAGCAAGGAAAGATAAGCCGGCGGGATCAGATATAGTGGCGATACGTAAACCTGCCGTTCCGTACAAGCGCCTGACTGCAGGGACGCGAGTAAGCGCACAAAAGGAAAGGAGTCTCAATCCTGAAAAACGGAATTAAGAGTCGAACGGAATCACGAGTGGAACGGGATCACGGGTCGCTCACCACTTGCGGCGGGACCAACCTCAGGAGGGGCTCCAGCGACGCGTCCGCCAGGGGATCCCCCTCCACGTCCCATGGCCTCTCGAAACTGTACACCAGCTCCCAGCCCTCCAGCCTGCCGCTCACACTCGGCTCCGAGGCCCCGTTTTCAGCCGCGTCGCGACGTGGCGGGCTGGTGGCTCCCTCTAAGTGCGGCACTTCGGGGGAAATAAAGCCCAAGCTAGAGAAACTGCTGAAGGAACTGTCATTGCTTGGACTGGCGGGAGGGTCGTCAGGGGCTTGATCCGGGGGGGGAGGTTGTGAGTCGGGGGACGATAGTGCGGGGGTGTCGGGGCGTGTTTGGGGAGGGGACACATCGGTGTCGTACAAAGGGGGGTCGAAGGGGTTGTTAGCGTCAAAGGCGTCGAGGACTCCGGAAGGACTCTCGTCAGGGGGGGTCGATTTGAGTCTGTCGGCCCAGGCAATGCCCCCCCCCTCCAAACCCAGCACATTCACCGGGGACGCGTCTAGAAGGTGCAGGGGCGAGAGGCCCTGTTCTGGAGGGGGATGGTCCACTTGCTGTTTGGAGATGACTCTGCGGACTGAGAAAAGGTCTCCCGGCGGCGGCAACCGGGTCTCCAACAGGGCCTCCAAGAATTGACTGGCCGGGGAGTGGGGCGCCAGCCATTCAGAAGGCCCTGTTTGGGGGGCGGTTGAATCGAGCGGCGTCGAGAGGAGCGCTTCCAAGACTGTGAGCACTTCTTGGAATACGCTGGGCCAGTAGTGGCTGGACAGGATGCATGCGACCGTCGGCTGAACAGGGCCTTTCAAGTCTCCCCCAAAGGGAGCAATGTGCCGGCAGAAGCCGTAGGTGCGGGCGCCATCACTGGCTGTCAGCGCGAAGGAATGGACCTGTCACGTGGCGCGCACTGTAGTAAGCTTCAAAATGTCAGTCTATTTCGCCTGACATTTTGAAAAGTTTCTGGGGAGTACGTCAAGTGTCATGCAGATGGTGAGCTTTATTGTGAGGACACGTTGCTTTGTGCCATTTGCGCGGGGTTCTCGCCAAGCGGCCCGGGGGTTCTCATTGCGGACTCAAAGTTAATGTCTTTTACCAAAAAGAGCAAAGGAAGAGCTTATGATGATCAAAAGGTTGATGTTTCCAAACGAATACTCAGTATGAGATTGAGAGCAATCTGCTTTAGGACGGGCAGGCGCCCGCATGATTTCTGAACAGGTGAGCAAAAACCAGGAGGGTGACCCTTGAGCTGCAACAAAACCTGCTGAGGGGGCTTGTTGTGAGAGTCTGTGCATTTCTGTGGAACAACTTGGCCCTGCTTCACCTGAGAAACACAAACCTAGCGTGCAGTGAGGCCAATAAGATCGTTTCCCCGTGGTCCAAGTCTAATGCTTAAAAACCAGATAGCAAACTGCAAACTGCAAAAGTCTGACTCACCTGATCTACCATAAGGGGATCCCCCGGAGGTAAAATAGCAAACGCGCCCGCATCTTTGAAAACCTGCCCGCACCGGCACTGCAATCCGCTAGCAGACAAGCTGGACAGGGCTGCAATGTGTGGTTGGTGCGGGCAGAAGCGGTTGCTGGTGTAAATGGCCGCTGGTGTGACTGGCCCCTGCCCCAAACCATCCGCACTCGCTGTAAAGAAGTAGGTGAACATTCCTACTATGGATGTCGCTCCGCAGAGCTCAGAAAAAGTCCGACCAGCTTGAAAACCTGGGAGTAGTGCTGAGCTATGCCGTAATATCTGGCAGCTTAGTTCAAGCCACGCTTTGACGGCTCTCGTTTCCGGGGTGTCCGCAAGATTTGTCTGGTGTTTCTCTATCGAACAGTGATTGTTGGAACTCCTTATTTGACTTGATAAATTGTGATTCCAACAGCAACCTATCAGCCCTTAGGATATCCTTCCGAGATATGCACAATAGCCAACCTTGCTGGACTTTGAACAGCAGAGCAAAGTCCGTGCTTTCAGCTACCTCAACCACCACCAGATGCAGCTCAATTAGGGGCTTCCAACAGTTCAAGCTCTCCTTGATTGCTCAAACAATGTTCCAGAAGTGCTGCATGCAACCTTTCAACCCTCCCCCAAGAAGAGAAGGGCAAAATCTAAAATTGGGAAGAACTTTCAGGGGGCAAAGTACACCAGCGTTTCAGAGCCTTCACGTACATAGCCTTCAAAGTTCACACTGCGCCCTGGGCCTTCGAATCAAGGACAGGGATTTCCCTTCCCCTGAATCATGATTCATATGCAAGGACAGGGATTTTCCCTCCCAAGTTCCACTGCCCGGATTTCTGACTTCACCAGTGACCCCCGATGCAGGAGTCAGGAGACTGCACAACCTGCCAGCTGGAGCCAGCTGCCAAGCACGTGTGTGCGGCTTCCGCTTCCGCCCGCAGATCATGCCGTTCCGCCAGGTTGTTCCGTGGGGTCCGCGGCCCTGCCGCCGGCGACTCGGACTTGTGTGCGACTACCGTATGCAGCAGCATCCTACGTTGCTGCCACAAAGAATGATGCTCAGAGTTGTAAAAGGTTATCCCGGCCATTCAAATCGGGATGGATATATGTCAGGCCGCATGTTATGGTTTTGACAAAGCCTGATGTACTCCAGGCTCCGCCATTAACAGTATAGGGACGTACACATGATTGATCGGATTAGTGGACCACATGGAGGGTCTGACCTTCGAACTGTTCAAGAGGCGTGACTCATCAACCAGATTGAGAAGGACGGGCCACACAATCGCAATGCGACACGAAAGGACACCGTTTTACGAGGAGTACCCCACTGGGTTGGCTAAATCTGTCTCATCAGCCACATGTTATACGTATATGTTATTCGTACCGTGTAAACACATATGCAGATGTAGATGCTCACCTCAAAACAAGAGCTCGGCATAGTCCTTCAAACACTTGAACTCGACGCGCCTTGTATCCCGGTGTTCCGGAAGCACGCGGAAAAGTTTGAGGGCGTCAGCAACGTGCATGCTCGTCTAGATCGCTCTACTAGCGAGTTGGCAACATACAATGCTTGCATATACTTGAATGGCATGAGCATGCGACTCAGACACTTTACGTCGCAAACGCCGATCATTCCCGTTGGGGACGGAAGTGGTCTCAGCTCAACTTCGTTCGAGCCACATTGGATTTATGTACGTACAAATCACCGTGACGATTGTTCGATCAATCAGCGGCCTTTCCGAAATACCGGCTTTCACTTCATTCGTGGGTTCATTCGGGCACCTCCCTACAGTCTGATCCATCTGACCTAGGACGGGTTTGCTGGGTCACCGTTCGTCACTGGTTGTTCTGCAGCCAAAGAGCAGAGACTTTTTGATAGGCTTCTCATGGTCAATGCATCTGCGCTCCGAAAAGTATAGATTGGGCCCAGAATGGGAAACCGAATACAGTAGTGTTGATGAACCGGACAATCATCTAGATAGAGTAAGACACTAGCGCAGCACTCAGGAAGCGCTCAAATGAAGGAACATGCCGTTGCCAGCTCACTGCCAGTTGGATAAACTTAGATGAAGTGTCCTCACAGAATCTAAGCGGATTTCAGGTAGCGAATTGCTGGACGAACGAGAAAGATGCAAAAGCCAGACGTTCCTGCAATGCTCAACCGCCGAGGTGGCAAGCATCCGAGTCAGCAATGGGTGTATCCGACTTTTTCTGCAGTACTATCACGCTGAAAAGCCGATCACTTGGCGAGATTGACAATCTTCCATCCTACGAACCAAGCACGCAGCTGCTAAGGATTTTGGCACTTTACCTGGTCGCTTTGTCCTACTCCTCTGTTTTTTTGTTCAGAGGAGAGCGATTCAAACGCCTCTGGCGAGCCTCGTGCGGATCCCCATTTAAACGCTACGCATAGAAATCTTTCAGCCTTGACAAACAGAAACGATTCAACCATCATCCAAGTCTGGACCTCGTTCCTGACATCGGCGGCCTTCGCCTAATCACGTTCGTAAAGAGATTAGAAAGTAGAGTCACGAACACCCGTCGACAAAGAGTAGATTCAAATGAAACAAGATACACGAAAAGTTGAGTTGAGATGAGTTTGTCCCGACGCACCGTTAGCGTTTGAAGCGCTCGCCGCGGTCGGAAAGGCGAACTCCGTGCTCTGAACGGAGCGCTCCAGCATCTGCTCCTTTTGAATCTTGGCCAGCTGCCATAGGAGATTGATCAACCGTCACATATTCCGGAAAAATCTGTGGTGGCCTCTAGGCATGCAACTTTGACTCAGGAGAATAGTACGGGCCCTTGGAAGACAACCGGGACCAAGGCCTTTTGGTCGTAGCCATTCCGGCCATCAAACCAGGTACAAGAGGAGTCTCGCACAAATTTGAACGGAGTCTAACGAAGGCATGCACTACGAGCAATGGAGAGAATGTTGCCGCAGCCACGTCAGTCCAGACTCTTGGATTAGGTTGAGCTTCCTTTCGAAAACGGCCCAAGATCAAGAACCAAGCACAAATGTCGCCTTCTCCGACTGCACGAACAACACCATGTGCCCTCGGCGAAGACGGCAGCGACTACTGTAACGTCAGAAGTCAAACCGCGTTGTGGTTTCAGCATTTGGAATTGCGCCGACGAGACGCCCTCGAATCGCCCATGGCAGGGACACAGTACGTACGCAAAACCTCCGCGTGTGCGAATCAATGCACCGCTGTAAACTGCGACGCGCGCGCACTCACGTGTCGCTCGCGCATGGTCATCGTGCCCGTCCCCTTCTTGCGCCGCGCGGCCGCCTCCTCCTCGCGCTGCCGCGTCAGGCTCGCATAAAAGGCGGCCTCGCGGGCCGCAACCTCCTGCGAAGGTGACGGCATGCTGACGTAAGCGCGCTAGGATCAAGGTTACAAGGATGTAATCTGAAAAGAGCCAATTGTGGGGTACGATGATGCACGTTCGAATCGAAAGTAGAACGAAAACAGTTCCGGAGGCGAGGAGGCGAGAGGAACATCAACAGCGTTCTTCAAAGAGTACCGCTAGTCAATTCCTCGTTCCTCTGCGCATGACTCTCTTAATGCGTATTGTACTGGACTAGAATGCTACGCTGGCTATGCGACGGCTCAATGGAGCACCAACAGAAGTCGTCGAGGCAATCAAAAGTGGAAAAATGTGACCCAATGGAGTGCACTCCTTGGAGTACATCTCTAGCAGATCCAGAAAAAAATCGTTCCTCGTACGTCCCCACCTGTCTGCATTTTGGTCATTCTGACAAACAGAAAGCTCAAAGGTGCGGATTCTGATCCGCCAGTAGGCACATAGGCGCAGGGACATTCAGAACTACTGCGATGCATCTCTCGGTCGAGCCCTCGTCAGCGGCAAAGCTTCTCCTCAGGGGCGGCCGCCAATCTCACCTGACTGGCGAGCTGGTCCGCGCGCGCGCGCTCCTCCGCGACGCGCCGCGCGGCCGCGTCCACCGCGGCCCGCCTGCGCGCGAGCATGGCCGCGTCGTCCTCCACGGGGACGACGCCCGCGGCCGCGAGCGCGCGCTCGATGTCAGCCCAGGCGCGGCCCTCCTGGAACTGGATGTGCTGCTCGATCTGCAAAGGAGTTCCAACTAGGGGTGAGTGAAAAGTCTGGGTATCTTTTGCAAAGCTGCATCAACTATAGGCGTCTTTGCTGCTTGGTTGTTATCTACTCTGCCCTTTCGGCATCTCTTAATCAGACAGCACACTTCGCCCCTTACAGATTAGTCGAGCAGAGCAGAGCATCGACTGCCGAAGATCTTGAGATTCAAGAACATTTTGGCGTGGGGATACATGAATTGCCAGATCTAGAGTGAAGATTATTCCTGATCCGATTTTCTCATGAGCCCGCGTTGTTTCGACGTTGTCTCGACACAGATCGATCAATCCAATCGATGCAAAAAGCCTTCTCCAAATAATGATAACCTTATCCTTATCTCCGGCGAACAAGTCAATTGATCCAAACGGCGCAAAGACTCTTCAAATCACGATAGCCTTGATTCTTACTTACGTCGAACATAGACAAGATACACAGACAGTAGGCTAAATCTCTCACCGCAACGAGCTTGGCTTTGTCGGAGTGGCTCAAATAAGGGAACGTCGAAAAGACCAGGTTGGCGAAGAGGCCGTAGATTGTATCCTGCAAAAAGGCCCGGAATAATCTGACCGTGAACTTTCAGAATGACACGCCTCCTCCATGGTTCTTCATGTCTTTTCACTGATTCGACAATTGAACCTAAACCGTGCGTACGTCAGCTCGAACAGGCGACGTTATTGCACTACGTCAGAAGGTCTGAGGAAGCTCTTCGGCCTTCGTTAGCACCTCGCGCGCTCAGAAAGCAGCGCACCGCATCTTGCAACAGAGCCCCCGACAGACAAGACCAGATTCAAAGCTTCGAACCTATTGTCGATCTCATCTTGATCGATGCGGGTCTTGAATGTGACCAGAGTAACTAACTTGCGAGCTGTGTTTGTGGATTTAAGACCGCGAAAAGCTGCAGGGCACAAGGTTTCGGCTGAGCAACGCACCTTCAGAGATGTTACGGGAGATATTCCGGCGAGCTCCTCGGAGGAGCTTGTACCTGCAAGCAGTCGAACAATGGTTCCGGTTCCACTTGCATTGTCGCTGAATTTTTCGAATTGTTCTATTTTGTTCACTCGCCCAAACGTGCAAGTATAGAGTGAGTATAGTCGGTGACATTACAGTGGATCAGACAACTTTGATAGTCTCACACCCCACAAGTCCGGTCCTTATCAATATCTTAGCACGAAATTGTCGTTATATTGCGTATCTGTCAATTTCGCCGCTTCAACCACAGGAAAATGGCCTCCGCGACGCCGCCTGTTGGAAGACATAAGAAACTGGGCCGTCTTGTCTAAAGATACCTGGTCTTAACGCTTTCGAGAAAAAGAAGGCGTTGGTTTTCACTGACCTCCATTCGCTTGGTCCCAGACCTTGATGACGATCTGGGCGCCACATTCGCCACTTGTCGGGGACCTCCACTCGTGGAAGAACGGATGCGCCTGAGTTTCAAAAATGGTTCAGGATTTCAAAGAAACCAATGGTTATATACAATTCCAACCATGCAAAATGGTTATCGCAGGCTGAATGTTTAAGCGGGGCTTTATGGTCGCGCTAGAAGCAGGTGGCTTGAGCTTAGAATACGGTTGATGCGTCGCGAAGAACCTACTAGCATGCTTCTCTCTGTAAAGCTCGCATTCCACATGCCCTGAAACACAAGAAATTCGCAACGATGTCTCCGGCTTCAAAGACTCGAAATCATCTGTGTAGAAGCTCTTCCACCGGAGCCCCAGACCTATGCCAAACAATTAAACCCTTACCCCACCAGGCTCCGCTGTAGACGAACATCACAGCGATAGACCCCCCGAGAAACATTCAGAAAGTCCCCCGCTCCGTCCAGCATGACATGAGTGAGCGCTCACTTTCGGATTCCCGGTGACGTCAGCGAGGCACGAGATAAGCCCGGGCCAGATCTCTGGGAGCGAGCCCTCGAGCAGCTTGGGCAGCAAACCGAGCCCCTCAAGAACCAGAAACTAGGCAATCCCCATTGTGACGTCACAGAGTCACTCACCTTCGAATTCTCCGTGACGTCAGCGAGGCACGAGAGGACCCCGGGCCAGATTTCAGAGCGCGAGCCCTTCAGCAGTTGAAGCAGCAAATCAAGCCCCTCGAGAACCAGAAACCAGGAAAAACCATCGTGACGTCAGCGAGCCACTCACCTTTGGGTTCTCCGTGACGTCAGCGAGGCACGAGAGAAGCCCGGGCCAGATCTCCGGGCGCGAGCTTTCTAGCAGCTGGAGCAGCAAACCGAGCCCCTCGAGAACCAGGAATCGGGCGAGATTCTTCCGGTTGAGGGCGACACAGCGCCAGACGCACTCGAGAACGGTCGCCGTGAGGGCTCCCGGCGATTGGCCACCGGACGCAATGTGGTGCCTACAAGATAGTGATCTATGTTGAGTTATGGCTCTGTTGATCTAGATCGTTCCTTTAGAGACGGTAGAGTTGATTTGGGACTGCTGTTCGGCTTTGGTTCAGGAATGTAATTTGATTGAGGGCGACACAGAGCCAAACGCACTCGAGAACGGTCGCCTGGAGGGCCCTGGAGATTTCCCCGCGGATGCAATGTGGTGCCTGCAGGATTGCAGTCTCAGTTCTATCAGCCCGTATGTTGACTTAGGTCATTGGCCGGGAGACGGGTAGGGTTGCTTTGGGGTTGCGTGTTAACCTTGGGTTTACACTTTTAATCTGGTTCAGAGCGACACAGCGCCAGACGCACTGGAGAACGGTCGCCAGGAGGGCCCGCGGGGACTGGCCGCCCGACGCAATCTGTTGCCTGCAGAAGAAAGGCACATCTTGTAGGAAACAAATTCAAGACATGGAGACTAGCTAGGCTGTAGATGTAACGATCTTACCGCGCATCCAGTATCTGATCCGTGACGAAACGCGGGACTGCTGGGAAAACATTGCCAACATTGTTCTGTCAAATTCTGGGGGTCAAACTTCAAGGCTGGCAGACGGGAGCAAAGTCGTAAGTACACAAGCGCTCGCAGGGCAGGCAAGAGGAAGCGGAGAAGTGTACGAAAGTAAACCTCGCTGTCACGGGATTGGGATGCGTGGAGGTTCTGACGTCCCAGGATGAGCCGTTCAAACGCCAAATGATTGGCAGGGGATGGGTATAGTACCATTATACCATTGTATATCGTTATACGACTATCCTAGAGGCTCTGATTGGAAGGCGGAAATGCACCGGAATCGGGATGGACGATATCGTCTCAAACGAGTATTTGATACGGTGGAGCGATGCTTACAGCAGCTCTGCATGGAGGGCCTGGATGCCCCCTTCTTTCCGGAACTCCCTCTGCGCCTCCTCGTTCCCCTCACAGAGAGACGACGCGATCTGCAGCGCGGTCTGGCGGAGCGAGGCCGGCGCGCCGCGGCTTCGGAACGCGTCTGTGCCGGAGTGAAGATGAACTTCAGAATCGTGCTTCATATGTTTTAGGCAATCGGTTATCGGACCTCATGGGCTTGGATTGAGGGCTTTGCATAATCGGAAATCAGCAGGGGCAGATGCGTGTTTTCCGAGGATTGTAAGGACTATTAATAAGGTATTGGTGCGTATTGGTAAAATAGTGAAAGGGTGGCGAGCATAAATTAGCGCCTGCATAAAAAGCTCGCTTTTTCAAGAGATCCAGCTGATTAGGTGTCGAATGCAGAATTGCTTGGACGCGATCAACACCGCCAAAAAGGAAAGGACGACGATGTTGCAGCAAAGAGCTAATGAGTTTGAAGTAAGGATGACGCTCTCACCGAGTGCGACTCCAATGGCTCCCAGCTGCAGAACGCTTGCCTTCATCGCCACGTCAGCACAGCAGGCGAGGAGTGCGCGCGCGGCCAGCTGCTTGAGCGCGTCGTCGGACGCGGCCACCAGGAACTGAAGGAGCACTTCTGGTCCCTTGCATTCCGCTATTCGCTCAGGGAACAGCGGAATTAGGGCGGAAAGGCAGGAGCACCCCTGCGGAGCGGCGGTAAGTTAGCGCTTCTTGCCGGGGGGACTGCTCCATGGTGGTTAGGGCAAGGATTATCGACGAGAAGTGGGTGAAAGGCCGTTGCTGTGGTGCAATATTCGTGACTTGTCCTGGCTGTTTCTGCCGTTTTGGGGTAGACCCACCCTCTCCATCCCCAAGCCAAAGCGCTTATTTATTTGCTGACACGTCACCTGATTCCCTAAACTTCTTCATCCTTTCCTTCCATCCAGATTCCACTCTCGAGTCTCTTCTCTCATCTCAACGCTTAAGGGAAAAAAGCATGTACTTCTAAGAAGATCCAGCCATACATGTTAGGAGCACCTTCTGACACGTGTCCACATCTCACCGGTTTCTGCAGCTCGTGCAGTTGGCTGGCCGTCCATTTGGGCAGCCCCTCTTGCCCCGGATGCAGGTAACCGAGGAGGGTTATCACGAAGCCCGACTGAATTACGCTAACCCGGCAGGTTTCGTCGTGGGCGCAAGCGGCCACGAGAGGCCACGCCAGCTTCTTGGACTCGAGCGCTTCGGCGTCCAAAACCTGCGGGGTTAAGGAGTGGGTGAAGGAGTGGTTTACGAGTGGTTATGGAGTTGGTTCAGCCCATTGAAAGGAGTGCGTTTGCGAACTGAGTTGAGCTTGGACTCGAGCTTTACCAGGTACCAAGCGTCGCTTACATCACGTGTATCAGTACAAAGCGTTCCTTGCCTCTGCATGGGTTAAGGTTTGGATATCGGTTGAGCTCTCCCGTAACGGCGCATCTGTAGAAACACGTTTCTTCTAGTATTGGGACCATGAGACTCCCAACATCCGGCAGCTTAGTAATCCTTAACGCCTTTTTTGACGTACGACTTCAACCTTTCCGCTTCTATCACTCGTCCTCAAAAACGCGGAAGACTACGTTGCAAAATCTGACCCTTTCCTTACCTGCAGAATGCCTCCCGCCCCGCCGCCCCCTACTAGTTCCGGCGTACAGCTCACGGCGATCAAAAGCTTCAACAGTCCACTCTCCGCAAAACTTGGCAAGTTAGCCGCGTCCCCGCCTAGAATCCCGGCGACAATCAGCAGGTCGTTCAGCAGCTCCTTGTCGCCCTTTTTGTACCCCCGATCGATGCACCGTCTCATCAGCCCAGCCAAGCTAGTGACAAGTGTGTCGGTGGTAAACGGCTCCCGGGGCGTATTTCTACCGGAGTCCGCTATTCCGGTTCCGTTCGCCTGCGCTCCACTCCCGCTGCTCGAAGCTTCGCCGTTGGACGCTGGTCGATCGCTTCTTGAGTCCTCAAACGAAGGCGCTGTCGCTTCGTCGTTTTCGACGATACTTTCGACCACTTCAAGAATGGCCTCGTCTGTTTCAAACTGGTGAACAACCTCATCTTGCATTTCAGAGCCATTCTCCTCTCGTCGACTTTCGGCAGGCTCTGCTGACTCGATTTCTCCTTCGGAAGGGTCCGTCGAAGCCGCTGCATCTCCTTGCGAATGCCGAAAGCCAGAACCGGTGTCTCTCCCAGATCCTCCCTCAGTGCGAGCCGCTTCGAAACCGCTTTCTTCCTCTATCTCTCCCTTTTCCGCCCCGCCTTCGAAACCCTCTCCTTGCCCTCCTGACACGCCCGCTTCTGCATAGTCAAGCGCGCGCGCCCCTTCTTGCCAGCAACTCTCCCCATTTCCGTCTCCGTCTCCGTCTCCGCACGTTTCCGATCCCGCTTCCGTGTTCTCCGGTCCGCTCACACCTGCCCCCATTTCCTCCCCTTCTTCTTCGTCCTCTTCGTCTTCCTCTTCAGAATTTTCGTCACTTCTAGTTGCGTCCGGGACCGGTTCCGGTTCCGGTTCCGGAAGCGTCCGGTGCTCCCGGGCGGATGGACACCGCTCGAGGACGTTCCACAGGAGCTCAACGCAAGTGTGAATTATCTCGGCCCCGAAGGGAGCCGTTTCGAGGACATGCGAGATTGGCTCGAGGATGCCAGCTGCGTTGTCGAAGAAGAGTGATTGTAAGTCTAAAATCGAGGTGTTTCTGGGTTATGGAGATGGAAAGGCATGCAGGCGGCGTGCTTCCCTGCCGTTTAAGAGCTTCGTTTTTCCTCGCGTCTTTACTTTATCTACCGTATATTAGTAGGATTGGAGCCCGTAGCCGCCTGAAGTGCCGAGTAAACGGACACCTATGGCTACATTCAAGACCTCCACACATGACCGTAACTTACATAGGCTCCAAACCAGAGTGCCTACTCACAGATTGTGATGGTCTTGTGCTGGTTGAACCAGCGATGATCCGCAACAGCTATCATACCAAGACAAAGTGCAGTATGCATCAGACAAGCGGCCGAATTTTGGAGGTGTCCTTCGACCAGAATGCCGGGCCTACCTGCGTGCATCCTCTCTGCGTTCTCCGTTGAAAACGACATCTCCAACAAAGCCTCTCCGATCAGGCCTGCGCTGTCCTTTTTTCCCGTTCGTGCGCTGCGCTCAAAGCCTCTCACTGCCGCTTCAACGGCTCCGCTCTCTGCCAGCAGACTCTGATTCCGACTGAGCAGACTTCCCCCGTTCAGACTATTCTTGAGCGTTCCCTTCAGAGTCGGAGAAAGCGGCTGCTTGACGGAAGTCAACGGCTTGGATCCTCTGTAGCTTTTGGCGGTTTGCGCGAGTGGCGTTCTCCCGGTAGAAAGAGATAGAGACTTTCGAAGTGCAGGGTCTTCGCTGTTGGGGTCTGGCTCTAAATGTCTCTGACCGTACCCACTGCCAATGTGGATCAGCGACTGAGCGGCTTCGATCTTGAGACTTGTGCAGGAGTCGGAGTCGAGGATGCCGCTGAGGGTGCTCAGAAGTGGGGTGATAAGCGGGGTGCTGTCGACATCGTCGGTGGACTTGTATTTCTGAAAAGGAAGGCCGCACAGCCTGCAGGAATGATTCGACTCATTGATCGTCCGTTCGAAGATTATGAATGTTTAGAAACGTGGTGAGATGGCGAAAGGGATTTCCCGACGGTTTCTTAATTTTGTTTCAGAATGAATTCACGCATCGTGTTGCTCCAAACGTTTCCAGACTAGTTTGTGGATGGAGTACACAGAGTCGCCAACTCAGGAAGCACCTGGTAGAAACACCCCCTTTGGATCACTTCCAAATTGACGACTTGTAAACGCCCAGTCATAACAAGCGTAACTGTCGCAGCCAGGTGGTGACAACCGGGTTGTCTTGCAAGCAACCAGCACAGCCGTGAGCACCATGAGCGGACTCACCTCACAAGAGTGCAGGCAGCTTGCAAATACTGAGCTCCATCTTGGCCCTTAACCAACTTTAATGTCCTCGCTAGGATTGACCTGATTGCCGGGAGGTCCTTGATCCTGAACCCTTGCTGATTCGCATTGCAGACAAATGCGAGGGACGCCAGTCGGCGCTCGTGCAATTGGTCCCATCGCGTGTCCTCAAAGAACTCGACGATCTTGCCATAGTTGATCTGAGCAGTGGGGGCTGTCGAGTCTGCCATCGATCTTGTTGAACCTGTATAAACAAAGAGTTTGGTTTATGCACGTCATTGTTGGTCTTTATTCTTCTATTGTCTTCGAAGAAGTTGACCATTTTGGCGTAATCTGAAGTTGTGGCGGCTGTCAAGTCTGTCACCGGTCTTGTTGAACCTGAATAAACAGAGAGATCCTGGAGTTATGCATGTATATGGATGATCTCTCATGCCTGCCTCCAAAGAACTCGACTCTTGGTATAGTCTGATTGAGCCGCGGGCGCTGTGGACTCTACCATCGCCTTTCTAAGACCTGTAGCAACAAATCCACTGAGGTAGATTACCCCTTATACTTCTAGAGAGGAAATTCCCAAAGAAATTAAGTGGTGTTCCTGCACCGCCTCAAAAAGGAGTCCTCAGCAATTTCGACTTCCTTGTAATACCTGACTCTAGTGACCGGTGCAGACTCTAGTATCTGCCAGAATCCACTGAAGTGGATCATACACTTGTACCCTCTTGAAATGGTGGTGTGACTTTGACACTATAAGTGCAGCTACTTTAGGTCACACCTCCATGTTGCTGTCTGTCTACTTCCTTTCCAGTGCATTGGAGGAGAAGGTTGTCATTCAGTTGCATTTGGATTTCTTCTCCAACACCAGGTTCTTGTGCTCCAGGATTCGTCACAGCTATTTTAAGTGGCACGGAACTCTGTATGTAGCTCCAAACAAGCTCTAGACAAGATGCTTGCACGTGCAGGGGCTTTGCTAGCACTCTGATGAGATAAACCAAAATTTTGCCATAACGGTAAGGTATTGGGGTGATTGAATATACTTGTCAATACTTGTAAACAATGTTTTTATCATATGAAGCACAGGTAAAGTCAGCTCTCTGGATACAAGCAACTGGAGTTCAGAATTTGGGGGAGTTAGCTTACCCAGGGGCATTGATTTCCGGGTGGGGCTTGTGCTTAGCTGCTTCAAGAGGCTTGCTGCCGGTAAATTAGCATCCTGAGCACCGAAAATTTGGGGTGAAGGCGCCATGGCTCAGATACATCAGTACATGAACAGCATTGACCTCCAAGGAAAAGGGAAATGTAGCTTTTGTTGTTGCACAAGTGGATTGAGAGCTCTCATTTGTCGTTCTTTCCGGGGGCTGCGGGGGCAAACACTGATCAAGCTTTGAGAACAGTAATACTAATCTACAGAAATTTTGGCAGCTACATGCAGCAAGAATATCCAGACACGTTGGGCGCGCCAGAACTTGAAGGAGCCGCGCACGCTTCTCCTACTTAGCCTAGCTTCAAGAGAAGTCTTATGAGCTCTCACCTGAATGTAAAAATAAATGGCTGTATCTACGATAACATGCAGCCAATGGGGCTACCTCTAGAATCCGCCTTGCTTTACAGCAGCACCCAGCCGTGGCGGCCACTGCTCATACCTTTATTGCGTTCAAAACATGTATAGCTCACCTACATGTATTAAAGCGACGATACAGCTGAAAAACAGAGAAGGGCCATAGAACTGTTCTTCAGCTCAAGCTGAGAAGACAGCAGTTTTAGCTATATTAGTAGCGAGTCTGGCGCAGCCGCGCCCTGGCGATCAGGTCACCGTTAACCGTTTTCGTACCGAACAGTCACGTCGACGCTGGACCATGCGCCGGCGCGCCCCCGCGTACCCGGGGGGCCCCGCGCGCGCGCGCGGAGTGCAGTCGTCGGAAGCGCGGCCGCGCCAGGATAGCGGCCGCGAGCTAGCCGGTGCGCGGCTAGTACGCTCCTTACGTTATCCTCCTCCACGCCAAATTTGTAGCGGCTTAGAGCATCCATAGCTTAGCGATCGCTCAAGCTCTGACTAACATGCATCTCTCTGTCAAGTTCGGCTGCAGTTTGTACGTGCCAGTGGGAAACGGCTGTTATGCAAACGGTCATCGTCCAATGGTCTTGGCAATCAGGACATTGGTCATGTTTTCATCCGGAGAAATGCATTAGAGTTTGCATGGAACAGATTGCTCTCACGGAATCCTCGTCATACGCGTGGAGTACAAAGCGAGACTTTAGAGTAACAACATCATCATGCTGTTTACTTACTCCCGTTCAAGCTTACCATGCATGCATACGTCCCTGCCAGCTCCCACTTAAGTGTAGATGCGCGGCATGCCAAGATTCATTTTACTTTCAAGTCGCACAATGACTTCAAACTGTACGCTTGAAGGACAAGGACACTTCGGCACTATGTACACGAACAGACTTTTAGAATAGCGACAGATGCATGGCGTCAGCATTGCTAGGCGTCTTCCCCAGCAGACCTGCTTGCTGCCACTACTCGGCGGCAGCAATCAATTGTACTCGCGCCTTCGTAAAAGCACCTACTAAAGCACCGAGCTGCAGCTTTTCGCTCGTCCCAAACGCCAATCGATACCTGAGACGACAACAGAAGCCAAAATTTGTGATGCGCGTTGTCAAGCGCAGTCAATGACAAACTGGAGGCCGTCACGACACAGCAAAGCAAGTAAGCGAAGCACAAGGAAAAGCGTCTGATCTAGACGTAGGGTTGCACTGTGAGCTGGTTTGGATGGCAAAGAGAAGAAAAGCGAGGAAAGAAGCTCACTCGATATTTGAGAGTGCATCCACTACCATGATCCTTGTACTTGCCGGCATGCTGATGCGAAAAATCCATCTGCACGAGAAACGAATCCTGACAATATTTAGCCAACTTGAAACGAGAGGTGGAAGCATGCTGACTTCCAGCATAGCAGCTGTCTGGATATGGACCAACTTGGAAATCAATCCAAAGTCGCTCCCGAAAGTAGATTGAAAACCAAATAGTTAGAGCGCAGGAAATGGAACTCTCACAATTCCCCAAATAAGCGCTGCAGCACCCGCATAAAATCCATCAGCGTCAGCACTGTCAGCGCGTTCGTTCGCCAACATAGCAAAAGTTTGATAGCGTCTGACACCGACATTGAACTGCCTTATGGACCACTGACAGCTGATCCTGCACAGGCCCGCGAGCGCCAGCCCCTCGAGCATTTTCGTCGAACATTAAGAAGCTCTAAATCTCACCGCGAGCGTCCTAGGCTCGCAACATTTCAAAAGCCGCCGAATCCACCATCTTAGACTTTCAAACAAAGGTGATTCTTGAAAATCCACGGCTGCAACTCCCACCCGATGTCAATCAGCGCCAGCCCTGACAGCATTAGATTGCTTAACATCAGAAGCTTGGACGCTGATACCGAGATCTATAGGATTTTAAGGTTGAAGGTTCAAAACTAGTGCTTTTTAGGAACTCACGGCTGCAACTCGCGCACGATGTCCACGAGCGCGAGCCCCTTGAGCGTCTTCATCTCGGCAATGCGGTCGTGCGCGACGGTGAACGGCTCGTTCAGCAGCCAGTGCGCAATCTTTTCGATGTCGGACGGGAGCGGGTTGCCCGTGCACAGGTACACGGCCTTCTCGTCGATCACGGGCGACGACATGTGCGTCGACTGCACAGAAAGCACAATTAAAATTATATACAAAAGATATATGAGAAAACATAACATAGAAAAGAGGTATAAAATCTATAAGATATAACAAGATTAGAAGGGGGTCAATAAAGGAGACGATGTCTGGGATCGGAGGGCATGGAAGCCCCTAGGACAGACAGAGTATTTGTGGAAACGCAAACTTTGGAAGGGTATTGGAAAACATTCAAGGACTAAGCTCTCCATCTGCCCTTTTCGAACTGTGCAGATAGGCAGCGTCGTGAGGATTCTCCAAAGATTTGGCCTGCCGTAACAGGTGTCATTGCTCGCGCCAAAACTTGCTTTCAAAGTTCGTAGCCTTCTAATCGACTCAAACGTTTCCAAACGCAGTACCGCAACTGCTCTTACCAGAACATGCGCACGCGTGAGCAAAGGTAATCCGAGAAAGTGAGCAGAACCTAACTGGAACAGGAAGCAAAAGAACCGGAACTCAAAAAGAAAGAGCGAAGGACAATCAAAGGAGGCGGACAGAGGGATACTCGTTCTAGCATCTACATATCCAGCAACGGTTGACCTGCAGGACAGGAACTCGTTTGCCTCTTTATGGCAGAATCTGCATTTCGTTGGATTGCGTTTAGAGTTGAATTAGACTGTGACGTCGTGCATCGAAACGGACAATCATAGAGATGTGGCATACCGAAGCTCCATTAGCAGAAATACCAATGGCAAACGAAGCAGAGGGATTCGCTATGACGACGTTTGTTCGAAGGCCTCGAAAGGCAGAGAAAAGTCGGACTTCTCACTTGCAGGATGTTCAGAGCTTTCCGCATGTCTCCGTTCGCCAATCGTACGACAGCTGGGAGCCCGTTTTCCGACACATCTAACCTGCAACGCAGAGCCGCCAATAGCTGTTTAAAAGCTCATCCGATGGCAGAGAACTGCCGCATGCCGCAGCAATCGGTCAATCGCGGCTGTCTCTTTGGTGATGAAACGACAACATACGGTGATTGCAGTACACCACCGGGGGCCGTCCATTTATCACAGCAGAGAGAGCACTCAGTTTTTGAGCAGTATTTTGAAGAGTTTTGAAGTATTGGTTTCCCGTTATCGTATCGAACTTTTACGGGTCTCACCCTTAGTCTAAAAATCATCGACTTCACCCGTCTTGTCCTGGTACTTTCCACCCGTTGCCTTTAAGCACCTACTAGGTATTACAACCGGGAGTGACTGCAATCGCGGCATCAGCCTGTTGGAAAAATAATAAGGTACCACTGCAACACAGTCCTACAAGATTCCCAATCGTTTGTGTCTAGTTTCAAAGAATGAACGATCCGCTCTTTCCAGGAGTCCGCAGATCAGCCCTGATGAAGAAAAGCATAGCGTGCAGAGGGAAGTACTCCTCAATGAAGAAAGATCAAACAGCCTCACCTTTCCTCGTTGACAATGTGCTGTAGCCTTTCCGTAACATGTTCTGCATGGAGGGGCGCAAACCGGAAGCGGGTGCAGCGGGACTGGAGCGCAGGGATGATCTTGCTGACGTAGTTGCAAATCAGGCAGAAGCGGGTGTTTCGAGTGTACTTCTCGATGACTGCAGATAAACCACGAACAATCCAGACTCTTTGGAAATTGCCCATGTGAAATCCGAATCTCAGCGGCTGATGGTCATGTTTGCCTTCCTCCAGCATCCCTTACCAAACAAGGGAAGACAATTCTCAGACAGAAGGATAGAACGGCATTGACTTGGACACCTCCAGTTTTATTGTGCAATGACATCAACTATACACTTACTCCAGGCTAAGGAGAGTATCGCGAGGAAGAGAAGAAAAGGGCTCTTCGAATTGAAATGGATCGTCTGACTTCTACTTCAAGATCGTCACTACCACTCAGTATTTTTTTAGGAGATCATTTGTTAAGAGGTGAATTCGTCCGGTTGATTTGAGAAGGACATTATGCAGCCTATTGCATCTTATAGCGTTGAAAGAGGAACACAGGGCTCACCTCGTCGTAGCGAGAACTGGGCGTCCTTGGTCATGGCATCGGCCTCGTCCAAGATGACCAGTTTGAACCCAGAGCTGCAGAGTGACACATACTTTGGTTATTCAAGTACCAAGGTAGAATTTGAGTACAAAAAAGTGATTTGAGAACCAGACAATAGGTACGATATTAAGACAGTAGTTTGGATGTATATTTAGTGACATAAATATGACAGGTAAAAGGCGATTGGTCTGCTGATCCTAATGTCTAAATTGATTGCAGTATTAGGGCGCCGTTAGGGAGCGAGCAGGCCATAAAGCGAAGCGAAGTCTCAAGCTGCTCATGCGTGCAGCTTACGTCTTGGTAACGAAAACGAGTGACGCTTCATTGCTTTCGACAGTGGGAGCAGGTTCCTCGCCAAATAGGAAGACATCAATCAAAAGAGTAGAGAATAATAACTTCTTGATGAACCTCTAGGGCGCTGAGGTTCTTTGTTGCACCTACAGGGCGCAAAGATCTTAGATTGCATACTGGGGCAGCTCACGACAGACAGTTTCACATCGGTTCGGGCAATGCTCAGAGTGAGCTGTAGAGGCACACTTTTCAAAGCACGAAAAGAGTTGCCTTTCCCCATGTCTAATGAGAACGTTAGGACTAATGTCACAGTCCGAAACCTGAACAGGAACGATGGCACAGCTTCAAAGTCTGAACTCAAACATTTGAAGGAAGAGCAATGCGTTGTACTTATGCCCCAAACACTACTTGTCTCAAGCGGTCGAGGATTGCTGCTGAAGCACCTGAAATCTTCATGTGGAAAGTTCCAACCACTGACACCAGCCAGCATCAAATTGCACTTCTACATTCCTGGTCAACTGAAAACCGTGTCTACAGTTATGTTTCTGGGTCGACCAAAATCACCGTGTTTCCAGCCCTGCATCTTTAGTCCAAGCACACGCACGCGCACACACTTCGCTCCATCTGAGAACGTACCAGGTATGTGCATTAGATACCATGTATCAATTGAGGTGTAACTGCTCGAATCAGAGGACCACAGATGGGCCATCGCATGGTTTGATCAATGCAATACTTACCCGAACATGTTCCGCGTGCTAGCAAAGTCCTGTATCTGCTGCCTAACAACGTCGATGCCCCTGTCGTCTGACGCGTTCAGCTCCAGGGTCATGTTTTGATAGTCCTTCGCGCCATACAGCTGTCTCGCAACCGCGAGAATGGTGGACGTTTTCCCAGTTCCAGGAGGGCCGTACAACAGCAGGTGCGGCAGCCGGTTCTCCTTTGTCAGCCGGCTAACTGCAATGATGTCATGCAAATGTGGACAGCCTTTAGATTCGTGGATAACAAACAGACGCAGTAGCAAAATAATGGTGCAGACCGTCTTGCCATTGTTGAACGGGCGCCTTGAAGCGTTTCCCTGGTCCTTGGTCGGTGTCAGAAGCTGATGCTATGCAAACAACTCTTTCCAGTAAAATCTGCAGAAGCAGAATTTCTACTTTGGTGGGGGCTGCTGCTAGATAGCAGCAATCAATGCACAAGCAGCACTGCTTGCGGCAAAAGAAAGTTGCTTTGGGAGGTACTTGGCGGCTGAAGACTCTGACGAATGCATGCAGAATTTACCCTTGAGCAGAGGCTGACGACAAAGTGCCTACTTGTAAGAGCACTTTGCCGACAATCACTGTGCCCGCATTCTGGTGCATCCTGAACCAACTGAAGGAGTACCAGAAGCTTCAACAGCAAACTTTGCACACAAATCATAAGTTCGCAAAAAGCATAAAGATGGACGTGTAAATTAGCAAGCAGGAGACTTACTTGTGTCGATGATGTCACGATGTGCTGCAACATCACTTAGCGCTTTGGGCCGGTACTTCTCTACCCAAACCCCGTCTCCTCTGGCGCCTTCCCTGACCACTCCCTTTCCCTTCTCCTGCCAAGAGGGCCCTCCTACTTTTCCCTTCCCTTTGTCCCTCTGCGAAGGTCCCGATGGGCCTGGTTCATCGACGTCCATTGGAGACGCCATCTGTAGGCTGCTTTTCCAGAAGATCAGGCCTGATTTAGCGTGTCGAGCTCGAAGCAAGTACGCAATCTTCTGACAACACTTCCTCTCCCTCCCTGTTGCTCGGTGATTGCTACAGACCTTGTCTTGAAAGTTGGATCCGCGCTTTTAATCCCTGCAAGTGGCCACTGCTCGATGCAACTTGCAAACTTAGAAAGCTGACCAGTTCCTTCCAAGTTTTGAGCAATATTGGCGCGAAGCGGTCGTAGTCCAAGCCGGTGCAAAACGTCCATCGACGGTGAGGAGGCGAACTCAGAGTCGCATCGACGATCGCGTGGATCTTTGAGCTCTTGCTCCTAGGGCCCACAAGATAAATTTTCGGTGAAAGAAGGTTTATAGGCAGCGTACTCAAAACGTATGCCGTTCTTCGGAACACTTGATAAAATTGGAAAGATACAGAGAAGATTAGCATGGCCCCTGCGCAAGGATGACACGCACAAATCGAGAAATGGTCCAAATTTTTTGGCGGTTTCTTCTGGCAAAAGCCATCACATTCAGCAAATCGTGATGCACCCATGACGCGCTTTCAAATCATGGAGTGTTAACATCCGGCCAATTTGGACGTTGAACATGTCAGGTGTCCCATGCAATGATCGACGCCTAACACCATGCATATTCTATATAGCTAATCATCCATGGTTTGCATGTAAGAGCGCCGAGGAGGGCATGGTCAACTTAGTGCGACAGTTCAAAGCCAGAATGTTTTTGATCATGACATCGCACATGAGAGCTCTGTTCTGCAAGGGCCCGATTGAGTGGACCGTTCAGCTAGCTAGGCCCGACGTGTACTAACGTATCCACATGCATCGATCCGATGCATGTTCCGGTCTATCTAGGCGCGGACATAGCGCGCGTGTACATGACCTCCTAGAACTTAGAACGTCCCTAGCTGATTTTGTTACAGTCCATTTGGTGGTTACCGCGCTCGGATGCATGCCAGGCAGTGCTCGAGCATGATCATGCATGTGCATGGCCTGTTGCAAACTGGAGAACAGACTGTCTACCTGACGGTTGCCGCTATTGATGAATAAGGCCGTCACGGAATGCATTGGACTTGTCTGCAAGCGCTGGCTGATGGAGGCCAGATTTAGACCGTTGCTATCGAAGTGGATTAGACATGGATGACGGTGACACTTAAGACTGCTAGGGAAGGTGCCTCAAGGCATTCCAATACGGTAAAAAAGTCGGTTCTAGAAGATGCTATTGTCGTCTTCCACCTCTGCAAGTTCGAAATTCCCTGACTTCACGACTTCGTCTAACCTTTTCGCTGTGTCGTCGTCGATTTTCAAGATCCGGGCTAATCTTTGTTTCTCCTCGTCCGTTGGTTTCTCACTCAAAAAGACACCGTACAAGTCCAGTAACTCGTCCTGCAGGAACGGAACTTCAAGTCAATGAATATTTCGATGACAAGAAGCATCCTCTTGCAGCCTGAATCGCTGCGAAGAAGCCATTCAACATATCCCAAAATGGTCGAAGGAAAGAAGTCGTCCAAAGTAAAAAGTGCAATTCATCTTCTTATACAGAATGAAGTGCCTTGTTGTAAGACAAGACGTCAAGCTTTGAAATGTCAAAGGTGCAGGTGCAAGATGCACCTTAAACACGCTTTCGCGTCTCAATCTAAGTTTACCATGACGGATGCACATGCTTGATGACAATCTTTTCTGCATGCACTGCCGTGCACTGAGCGTCGAAACCTAAGCTCGTTACAAAAAGCAGAGACATCGCCCGAAATTGCGAAACCATGAGATTTTCAGATCCGGAAAGGGCCACCAGGACGCCCCATCAGTCTAGGTAAACAGCGAAATGTTGATAAACTGACTGCACTTGCCTATGATTTGGTTACTCCGTCGGAAACACTTTCAAGGGACTTTGGTTCAGAACCGAACAGAATCACAGAGTGCTAAACGCCAAAGCCCAAAAGCTGACTGCTCAATTTGACCCAGCTTTCATCCAACCACCCGCAGACGGCTGCAGTCAAGTCTGGAGACTTTGCCGCAACAAGAGTTTGCACTTCGTGGTGCCTCCCCATTGACTTTCCAACTGCGTCACACTTGGACTTCTTCAAAGGAATTAGAGACGGGAAAGCCTGAAACCTAGCCTTCCGCGATGCGCAACTGCACCCCTCATTCCGCCTTGGCTTTCAGCGCCATTCTCTGCGACAATCCTAAGACTATGCGACAAATCGTTTGACACTTGTCGTGCGATACCAAGATCAAAGCACAAGCTCGCCGCGCTTGACGACCCAACTCAAAGCCAAGAAAACTAACGCTCGACATACTGACACTCTAAAACCCCACTTCGCTTTGGCGTCCGGCGCCGCGCGTTTGCTGTCTCAGAATTTGGTGAAGTCTATCGTTAAAACAAACTAGTCAGAAAACGAGAAATTGGAAACCAAAAACTGTATGCGCTTACCTGCACGCCCCACTCCGCTTTTGCATCCGGCGCTGCGCGGTCCGCTGCAATCAGGTTCCGGACCTCGGCTGCGAGCTCCTTCTGCCGCTTCTGGCGCAAAAGCGAGATTGACTGCACAAGCGCGCCGCGCTTGCGTTCCTTCGCGAGGTCCTGCGCAACACACGTGTCGGTTTCAGTTGGCAATGGGTACCTTGGGTTTACGCTTTACCTTTGGGCTACATAAGGTTACAGAATTAAGTTTTGTGTTTCAGTTCACGGTATGTTTAATTAGGTCAGTGCCCGGGGGACGGGTGTGGTTGGATTTGGGGCCTAGGGTGAGTACGGGTGCGGAGCATGCTAATCACGTGTTTAGGACTCCAGTTTGTGTAGTCCCGGGTTTATTGATGCAACTCGACATAACATTGAGGTAATACCAAAGCAATACCAGAGCCTTGTCAGAGCAATATCAGAGCAGTATCTAGCAGTACTGCTGACTCACCTGCGCCAGCTTCTTCACGCGCGCGACGTCGAGCCCCAGGTTGTTCGGGAGCGTCTCGTAGACCTCGGTCTCGTCGAAGATGCCGGTGCCGGAGGAGAGCAGGGTCTCAATGTGCTTCTTGTACATCTTCATGCGCAGCTCCTTGTTTACCTGTTGCAATGGAAAGTAGAAAGTCGGTCCCCGCACAAAATGGTCCACAGCAGATTTGAAACTTGAAAAGACACCGTCAAGCGCACATATCAAACAAAGAGTTTCGGAATTCTACGGGCACTCAACGAAATGGCTCCTTGAATAGTGGGCCAGCTTGTTCAAGACATCAAAAGCGACTGGGAAAGTGGCATGACGGAACGAGCAACTCCAGAAGTAGAACGGACGCCGCAATTGGAAGGTTGTAGAAGCAGCCTCAGCTGCTTGTGGCGGCACAGCAGCAACTATCGGCTTTAAACGCACCTAGAACCCAGTGTTACAAATGCTACCATGCTCTCAATGTCGACCCCTGACTCCCAGAAAGCTGCGCACATCCTTGATGGTGACCTTTGCCGCTCACTATCCCCCTTTGGCAAAGCTTCCAAACCGAAAATCAGATCGTCAAGAAACTTCACGGCAGATCGACTTCCAGGTCTCACCATGCTGTCAATGTCAACCCCAGACTCCCGGAAGCCGCGCACGTCCTTGATGGTGAGCTTGCCGCTCGCGATCGCGGAATCGACGCCGGAGACCATTTTGGAGGCGGTGATGGAGCGGATGACGGCGTTAGCCATCTCCTCGGTGAGGCCCAGCTGCTCGCGCAGTTTCGTCAGCCGCTCCATCTTCTCGGGCGTCAGCATGCCCTCGCTCAAAATGTTCTGCGCGTTCGTGCGGAACGCCTGCAGGGGATAGGAATATGCTGACGTCAGCAATGAAGGGAACAATCGTCTGCAAAGGTCTGGTGCAGATGCTACGCAGCTTGCCCGACTGTTCCATCTTCTCGGGCTTCAGCATGCCCTCGCTCAGTCGTGCGGAACGCTTGTGCGAGCTCCGCGTTCGTACGGAGCGCCTGCGCAGACATCGGGGGAAAAGCGACTGTCAGCACGTTCTTCGGGAGAAAAACATGTACAATGTATAATGCAGGAGGGATGTAAAGATGCGAAATCTGGATAACAACTTCCTGGTGGAACGAAACGCCCAAAAGGAATGCTCTACTGTGACGAACTCGAGAAGAAAAAGGGTAAGGAAGGCGCCGAGGATTTTCAGACCACTCTGTCACGCTAGGCCGTCATGCTTCCACAGGGAGACGCGCCAACATCCAAACGTAGATTGAGGGAAAAGAAGGGGCAAAGGCATAATGCATGCATAAATAAAAGGTCAGATTTCTTCCTGCGGCCGAAACCCGCCGTAATATGGATGTCAGACGCCCCTTTGAGCATAAACATAACGTCCTTTGCTTGATAAGGAACACACATGTGAAGGTGTCATAACATTCGTAACAATTGCCTCTCCACAAGGCGGGAGCGCCGATTGAAGTTCTTGGCGGAGATAACGAACCGACATGCCAAAAAGCAGCGATGTAAAACAGCATGTGACACCGACCTGCTCCGCGAGGCCCTTGTGCACCCCCGACACGTCCGCCGGCGACAGCCCCAGGATGTCGCCCAGCTGCGCGAGCCGGACGAACTCGCTCTCGTCGCGGTCGATCACGATCTGCGCGCCCAGCGGCAGCGTGACCACGTCCCCGGACAGGCAGTAAAGCAGGAACCCACGGTACAGTTCTTGGCGGTACGGCAGCTCCAGTTCGTCCTTCACGTTGATGTCCTTCTGGGCCTTCATGGTTCCGCCCTTGCCCTTCTGCGCCTTGCGCTGCTCGCGCTTGGCGGCGACCAGCGACTTGCGGAGGGAGCTGGGGAGGGCCTTCTCCTCGTCGGTTTCCTCCAGGATCTCCTCTTCCTCTTCCTCCTCCTCGGGCGCCTGGAACAGAGGAAAAGAATAGAATTTGAGTATACTTACTTCACAGTATTGAGTTGCTAGGAACCTAAGGTTGAGGGGTGGGTAGATTGTGAAGGAACGGCTGAGAACAGCTGAGAACTGTAAGAAAGTTCCGACGCTCTTATTCGCAGGGGGACCCGAAGGGTCAACCTTCCTTGTCCTGCTCGGGCGCGCCTGGAAGTAGGGAGAGGAACAGGCGGTCAGTTCACAGAAGAAAGAGCTGGCAAATCTGATTTGATTGTGGAGGAGCAAAGGTCACGACTTGCGGAGGAAGCTGGAAAGGGCCCTTCTCCTCATCGGTCTCTTCCAGGAACTTCTCTTCCTCGTCCTCCTTGGGCGCCTCGGAGAAGGGACAATGATGTGAATCAGGACTTTTTGATATCCGAAGCTTTGCACCGAGAGGCGGTCAGATCGCAAGAAACAGCTGAGAAGAATGGTTTCGAATCAACATGCTAAGGCAGCGTCGTGCGGGGGATCCCAGCGGGGGATCCCAGCTGACAATTGGAAAATGGCAAAACTGCAAAGGCCCCTGACTGACTGGCGGAGTGAGTGGAAATGGTTTGTCTTCGCCGGGCTTCTCCAATCATCATCTGGGGGTTTTGTAGAACGTACCAGTGTGAATCATTATCAGTGTCGACGATCGATTACCAGAGAGGGAAGACAAAAAAACCGGTGCGCAATACCCATTTCGGACAATCGTCCCCCCCCGGCCTCGTCAGGCGCTTCGTGGGACATGAAATGATGGGACTACGAATCCTGACAGACCGGCACAATGGCGCAGATTCTTCTTTTTGGAGAGCGCTGTTCTACAAGCAAAGCAAACGGCAGAGGCTCACCGTTTTAAGCGCCTTGAGCTCCGCCTGAATGTCAATCTTCAAAGCTCTTCTATGAACACTTCAGAGGCTTCCGTATGCGCAAGGGAAACAATCAAGCTCAAGAAGCAAACAAAAGGGCGCAAAGGCTCAGCGCTTCCAGCGCCTTCAGCTCCGCCTGGATGTCGAATGTCAAGAGTATTTGTGACGGTTTAAAAAATCCCTTCTAGATACGCAGTGAAGGACTTTGTCTAAAAAACAGGGAGGTTTGGCTTATAGATAGGAAGACAAAACTGCACAAACGCTCACCGCTTCCAGCGCCTTCAGCTCCGCCTGGATGTCGATCTTCTGGCCCTTGACGTCCTCGAGCAGCGGCCGCACGACCATGTTGCTGAAGAAGACCATCTTCTTGAGCTCCTTGGCCGTCTCCAGCCGGTTGGGCTGCGCACGAGCGCGCTTGATGTACGACAAAAAGATGGCACGAACCTGCAAAAAATCAAGAGTCAGAACGTCCTTCATTGCTTTGCTGCTGTTACGGAAATCTGTGCCTTAAAGGCCTTATGTCGAGAAAGCCGGGACTGCAGTCGTTTGTGCAGGCCAGAGGCAACTCAAAAAGCACCAAAGCAATCAAGAACAAAGACCAAGTGGTGCTTATCTTGATCAGCGACAAGCGCAGCCTGGAAAGGCAAGACCATTCCTCCCCAACACGATGACTCCATTGGAATCAAACAAGGCTTTCTTAACGTTGACTGGACTTCCAACCACCCCTCCGAATCTCTGAAACCAGAGTTTAAGCTTCTGTGAAAGTTGAACTCAAAGTGTTTCGACCTGTGACTACCAAGAAGCCCGCTCACCGCTCTGCTGAGGATGTTGACTGCCATGTCCTGATCCAGCCGCAAATTCTGCTTCGAGTTGTGCACCAGGTCCAGCGCATGGGGAGTGACGGCGTCGATGCTCTCGGACAGGGCCTCGTCGATGACCTGCAGCACACAAGCACGTCAGGGATGAAAAGTCCAGGGCTTCAAATAGCTCTCAGATGGGGCCTTTGGAAAAGTTTGCAGCGCACACTGGGGTCTTCGACTCGCTGGAGAAAGGACGTATTAAGAGAGCGAACCGCGGTCCTTTATCGAGGTTTACCCGTCATAGCAGCAATAAGCTTTACAGATGCTGACGACGGTGTGATCAACGCACAAGCGGGGCCATTTGATCGACGGGTCCTTGCACTCATAGCATTCCAAGACTCGACCAGAGACAGTCTCGAGTTAGACGGGATTCTTAGATGGTGGCTTAATCAGCGTTCATTATCTAGACTTGTTTGAAGAATGCTCAGTGCTTGGTGTCGTGACGAACGAAAAGCAAGGGGACGAGAGCAATAATAGGTTCCTCCATAAATGAAGTCGATGCTCGTAAGAGAAGTGCCCCTATAGGACTCCCCTACCAACAAAACGAGCGTTACTCTCTCTGTTTTCCCCTTCCTTATCGTTGTCATTGAGAGCAGAGACAAGAAGAGAGTCGAAGTAGTCAATGAACGAGGCCACAGTCTTTCCAAAGAAGAACCATAACGGCTTTACACACTGCAGTAGAAAGCCTTCTAGCAGGAGCTTACCGCCGTGAAAATCTTGCCGCACAGCTCGTCGTGCGCAGCATCCACAGTGGCCTTGGGCACACACAGCAGCACGCGCAACCGCTGCAGCGCCTTCACGTCCTCGTCGTCCAGCTTCTTGTCCTCCAGGCACGACTCCAGCTTCTGCCGGTAGATCTCTGGAGGGGGAGAAAAGTAAATTGTTCCAGATAGAACCTGAAGACTTCTTCTTGCCTTCGTTGTCCCTCCAGGACAGGATGCTCGTCGTCCTCAGGCACTCCAATTGCTGCCCTGAAAGCTCTGTAGCACAAAACCAAGTCATGAGTACAATCAACGCTGTCATAAGAGTGTTGCACAGAAATGCCTGCACAGTGAGTAAGCAGGTCGAGTTCAAATACCGAGACAATCATATCTTCTGGCGTCCAGAAAGAGCTGGATACAAGACGTGGTGCCGTTTCCAACTTCTGAAACTCCGAAGGGGTTCGAAAGGAACATGAAATTCTCTCTCGATTTCACCACGTTCGTACGTCGGAGACCGAGAGCACATCCATAAGCCCCCAATACCAATCACCTAGAACGCTCGAACTTGTTCCAAAGCAACGCAAGAAAAGAACAAAACCAAGTGCTGCCGACCTTCGTTGATCTTGAACGCTTGGTCCGGATCCAGCCGGATGTCATCGCACAGCTCCTCCAAGAACTCCGCCTTGCTGGCGGCTCCCTCCAGCGTCCCGTCCTGCACCGCTGCCCGTAGCCGCCGCCGGTAAACCCGCGCGGTTACCTCCATGGTTAGCGCGTCCGCCTCCTTGTTGCCCAGCCCGAAGATGTTCTTCAGGAGCGCCAGCTCCGCAACCTGCGATACACGGAGTCAGTAGACCTGGTCAGTCAACGAGGATGGCGACTTGGCTGAGTGCGCTACTGCAAGTCTCGGGCTGACCCTAGACGCGGAACGGGGGGCGACGACCCATTATTACAGCGCTGTCGTCCCATCTTAATATCAGACGCCGGCACCTCTAGATCCTTGGTTAAGTTTGCCCAGACTTCGATTTCAGACCTGTTGACTGCGCTTTTCCCAGGCGTACCTTTGCAAAGAAGGACTCCATGCTCAGGATGATACTTTGTTTCCTCTGACCCGCCGGAAATGGCTTGAGGAAATTCGGTAAGTCAACCTGTAGCGAGTCTGGTCAATGAGTAGACTGACCAATCTTCAGCCCACTACCATTCGCGATCCTTGCATGCGAGTGCCCCACCTTGTCGTCCGCCAGCTTTTTCGAGTTGAGCGCCTCCCCCAGGTACTGCCGGTACAGCTCCTTAAGCTCCTTCATCGTCCGGTCCGAATCGTACTGCCCGCCTGCACAGACACAACAAAGGAACTCATGCCGACACGCCCTTGAAACTCCAGATTCGCCAAACGGTTCCATTTTCACGTGTAGTTTTATATCACGCAAAAAGGAACTGGCTCCGGGAAACGAGCGTACCAGACCCCTGGTTTCGATCCGATTTGGAGATGACCCATGGTTAGATGGTCAACCGGGTAGTTCTGTCCACCGGACAAAACGAGCCAGGAGAGGGCTGCCGACAGCTCTTGCAAACCCGCAACGTGTATGTATCTCAAATTATGCCCTGCTTCCACGCTAGCCCCTCAGACAAAAGGTAAAGACCACGCGCCAGTAAACATCAGCGAACATACGTCCGCCCTTGCTCCCTAAAAGTCTACATCATGCCTGCTGCTGCCTTCTACCCTTGACTCAACTTCACCGCCCTTCTTATCAACATCCCCTGTAAAGCATGACGCTTTTCAGATTCAGTATTTGTGGATGTCTCAAAACCTACAAGCTGCCATCGTGCACAATAAATCTTTCGGGAGCCCTTCTCGTGAGCTTTTCAGGACGAGCCTTACCTGAGAGTGTGATTGGACCCACGCCTGGCACGATGCTGTCCGGATCCTCCTGGTTCTGTATATCCTCCAGCTGCTTATTATAGGCCAGCAGGTCCCGCAGGTTCTGCAACACAGCCGCCGTGTCCCTGCAAAACGGAGTGCCAGACTCTCAGGTCCGCAATCCAATCATGGAGCCCTTATCTGGTGAGATTTCCTCAAACCCTGTCAATATAGATTGGTGGCAGGCGGTTCTCTCCGTGCATTGAATTCTTGGAAATACAGCACTTCGTTGTGAGACCAGCACGGCTTAGCTGAGAGGGGCGTGGTCCAAGTGACTACGTAAACTTGAATTACGTAGCTCAGCAGAACCTTTATGTCCAATCTCTGTTCAAGGTCCAGAAGATTCAATCAATCCAGCATGACTCGTTAAGCTGCTTTCTATTGGATAAAACCGCAGTCCAACGTTCACAGATCTCGCCTTCTCTGGTACACGCATCACTTCCCATGACCACTGGTTTACCTGACCAAATAACACCGGTACTGCACACATTCAGGGGCTGACTCCTTGTGTGTATCCCGCACTTACTCCACTACTCGGACCTGACTGAACCAGCCGCACTTTTCACAACCACTCAAAGTTTCTCCCTCACTTGATACGCGTGCGCGCCGTCTGAATCTCCAGCGCTTTCTGAATGTTCCCCTCCCCTAGTTCCCGCAGCTTGGTGCGCACCGGCTCGGCCACCACCTCATCATCAAGCTTCACCTTGCGCTGCAGCCGCCGCAGCTCCCGGAGCTTGCTAACATCAGGGCCTGGGTATGTGACATCAGCCCCGTGAGCTTGCAATCGGAGTTTCTAAACGCCTCTATATTCGCAATGGCCCTGACATACCTTGTTTTGAAGACCCGTTCATTAGGATCTCTTTTCTTTGTCTCATAATCACTGCGCAGTCAATCGCCTGGCTGGGCATGGCTTTAGAACCATCAAGGGCCATCCTTGCTCTCTCACAATGGAATACCCGCAACTGCCTTGCTTGTAACAAGCAAAGGGCTCGTTACCGACACTTGACCTCCTTATATATTGGAGAAGCTGACCACGCTCATTTTGTTTTCTCTAATCCTCGAGACTGAGAAGCACTATGATTTTCCAAAAACATTTGTACGATAGTAGAGATGCCTTACCTGTCAACGACTTGAGCTCCTCTGAAAAGATGCGCAGGCCGTTGTCCCTGATGGCGACTGCAACCTGAGAGTCGTTCACCTCAAAAGAGCGCTTCCAAGGCAGTAAGAACCCGGCGGCATCTCCAAAGACGAGTTGGGAGACAAACACCAGTTTTTGGAAGGCCTGCACACGACATAGAAAGTATGCTGGGCAGCTGCGATCACCAGTCCAAGGGCTATTCGCTTCTCCATAAGCTATGCCAAAAGCTACTCCTCACCTGCCCCCGGGTCCGGGGCTGCCGCAAGTCGGTCGACTGGGCAAGCTGAAGACCAGGGCTGGACAAAGCCTGTCAACCTCTACGTTGAGCCAATGTCACTATAAAGGGGCCAGCAAAGAGCGCCTGAATCGGGGAACACATGGGAGCCTCTGTGATTTCAAATCTAAACGAGCTAGAACAAACAATCAGACAATGACAACTCCAGATTCTTTGAATTTCCATAGCAATGCTGTGTGAGACTCTGCTCAATTTCGACCAGACAGCCAACAGTTGGATTGATCCAACTTCCAAGAGGCTGGTGGTCTTCTCACCCTCCTCTCAGCCGTGGCTAGTTCTCTGTCTCCAGTCTCCATACGTGAGCGGTGGATGCGCCGCCCGAGCTGCGAGCACCGTGACGAAAGTAAGGCATCAGCTCCTTTCTTTACCTGTCTGAACGATTTGCCAAAGAACGTGGACACCCAGCCAATCGTAGCGGACCCCCTCTGCTAAAGACCCCAGGGGATCGACTGTTGACATTCATGAAAGCACAGCTTGAACCATCAATCTGAAGGCTTCCAGCGGAGGGGGTTCCTCAAAAGCGAACCGGACTCCGCGTCGTCCTTCCTTCCATTCATGTCTCCCCCTTGTTACAGAGTAGGGTAGTGGTGGAGTTAGGGCCAGCTTTACGAGGCAACATGCAGTTTCTTGTAGCGATTTTGTGTGCTAGGAAAACATGGGCATTTGGCCCTTGCAGACAGCAGGTTGAGGGACGCCGGACCTCCCAAGCTCTTCAGTGACCAGGAAACAACAGGAATAAGGCCCTTCCTTGGAGCAAAGGCTAGTCACCTCAATGTGAACGGGCGCCGCATCTGCATCCTCCAACCCAAGCGCGTCCTTAAACGCGATGATTTTCTCCACCTCATCTCCCTTTAGGTTCTCATTGCCTGGGGGCAGAATGCTCGTGAGGTACCTACAAAGCATGAAGCGACTTGGGATGCTTGAAGAGCCAATGAATCAACAGACTTTAACTCAAATATCAATTGATGGTACTTACAAATAAAATGAACACCGACTAACACTTGAAGAACGTGCTTCCAGGGCTACCTACTCTAAAAAGCAAAATGCGAAACGTTTCTAGACCGCTGGCATCAAAGTGGGCCATTGAAGAGACTGATGGCCGTCCTAGCAACCGGAGCACGATGACAGAATTGACAAACCGTACTTTCAATGGCACTAGCTTCACAAGAGAATTGAATGGTAAAAGCAGCTTCTACGCGGTGCCACTTGTCACATCAACAGATGCTGTGGTCAAAGCAACAAAAGCAATCCTTCTTTCGAGTCACTGGAAGCAGCAGCAACGGGTCGTATGCGGACCAACATTGATGAACGCCTTCTACTGGTAATGGTCACCAAGGACTGCCTGGAACCAGCATTGCGTGACTTTACGAAAAATGGTGGAAATGGTGGGGGCACTTACGCATCATACAGACCCTTCAACTCCTTGGTGAAATTCTCATCGCTTGTTGAGACGCCATACCTGCGATGGAAGGTGCTTGTGTGAGGGCGGTTGCCGAACCCCTAGTATTGGAGCCAGCGAGCAGCAGCACACACAATGGTCAAGCCACATACGAACTTTGAGCAGTTCTGCTCGAGTTGTCACCCAACCTTGCTACTTAGCCAGCATACAACGATCGTGTTTCTGGAACCCACCTATCTGCCAGTACATTTGACTAATTGTTTGTCTAAAGCTGGACCCATGCTTGAGCCAGAACACGAAAGGCGTACCTCTCAGCTATCGCGTGGATGTCCGCCTTATTCACTTTCAGTACATTTGGGTGCTTCACCAGAGCATTGTGCAGTTCTATGGCTGCCAGGCTCTTATGCGTTTTATCCACTGCAAACGCCGCACCGAGTCCGACACCCGCCCCACCAATCGCTCCGAAAATCCAGTTTTTCCCTGCGACTGCAGCCCCTGCTCCTCCCAATCCCAGCACCAAGAGTGCGCAGACCCCTAGCTTGAGAGGCTGCGACAAGTTTCTCACGACAGGCTGCAGCCCTGTCAGCGGAATTTCCCCACCAAGCTCCAATGCCTGTTTTGGGGGGGGGACACCAGCTTCAGGAGCGGCCAGAGACACTGCGCCGCGGACAGAGGAGCGGCGCAGGAGTGGCCGGCATTGCCTGGCCGTATGGAAAGAAGAGGCTTCCTTCAAGAATGAGGTTCTGCTACCGGATTGCAAGAGGGAATGCTGGCGCAAGAGGAGGCTTTTCTGTTGCAGGCGCGCCGGTGTATCTGCAAACGTAGCCCTGGGGGTCTGTAGAGCTAGCGTGCTGCCCCCCAGCCCGCCCCTGGTCAGCAGGGCGCACTCCATGGTGGTCCCAGGTGCAAAGAGCGCCTCCCTTCTTCACGTGTGCAGCTGGAAAGAGGAGGCCAGCAGCAAAGTTGACTCGCCCTGTGCAGGTGGACTAACTCAGGGTTAACGGCTTCGCTTTTAGGGTTCCGCAAAACCAGGGTCTGTTTGATGTCAAGACAGGCCTGGGAAAATTTTGAAATTGATAGTTTTCAACGATCGTAGTTAGTTGAAAACAGAGGTTCTCTGCTTAACGAGAACCTCTAACCCGAAACGCGGCTTTAAAGCCGCGTCTTCGCGACAAAATTTCTCATTCTGTCGCTCAGCAAGTAAAATCACAGCGCAAGGAGGACGGCGCCTCCTTGCTTCCCCTCAACAATGCCTTCGTCTTCTTCTTCCTTCCAGCTTCCTTCTTAGCAAGTGCATTCCAGCTACATGCCTTTGCTTCGATCCGTTCCTTTTCATGCCTTCTTAATCAACGAGCGTTGCCTTTAGCCAGCATGCAGTTCGTGTTCAACCTGAGTGTTCTTCTTGCGTAAAGCTTCGTCAATTTCCAGGAGCTTCCTCTCAGCCTTCGAGCATGGCAGGTGGTGCTAACGAAATCGACCGTGAGGATGAGGTCTACTCCCCCGCAGAAGCTGTCAAGGAGGTGCGCGAAGCTTCGCTTCGCAGCCAGGCCTTCATGCAGCAGCTCTCAGATCAGATCAAACAGTCAACGAATGAGCAGCGGGAGACCCTGGCCAAGCAATCAGAGCAGATTCAATCCCTTCAAGCGCAGCTCCAAGCGAAGTCCATCCCCAAGAGATCAGACAAGGTGACCAACCCTCAAGTGAAGAGACACATGGAGCCTCTGGAGAAGGCTCAGCATGCACTGTCCCAAGCCAAGTCTGCATTCGACGGTCATCTCGATGGTTCCTCTCCGCTGGCTGATCTCTCTGAGGAGCAAATCGCGGCTCTCAAGAACCAGTGTGATGAAGGTGAGCATGCTATTGCTGAACGCATGCTTTATCTGGAAGATTGGGAGTCTGAGGGTCAGGAGGTAGCGGATGAGATGCTGCGTCTTCGGGAAGAGGCTACGAAGGATCCTGCAGAACTCTCCTTGGTTAACCGCGCAAAGAAGTCCCTAGCAGAGAAACGGAAAGCTAGCGAGGAAGCATCCAAACCTTCCAAGGAACAGAAATCAAACCCTTCCCAACAAGCCAGCAACCGCAATTTCTCTTTTCGCTCTCGTTCCCCCTCTCCATCTCCTGGTTGGTTCGTCCCTCCTCCTTCGCCTCTCATCATGCCTTCGCCAGTCTCTCAGCCATTCCTCAATCCAGTTCCTTCGCCTATCTACCAGAGCCAATACTTTCCTTCGAACCGCTCCCCTTCCCCAGCCCCCCTCCCTCCTCCTGTCCTCGCTCCCATCCCTCGCGCTCCAGGTTCTTCTCTGCAGACCAGCGCTCGTGGCATGAACTCTCAGTGTTGGTCATGTCGCCAGTTCGGTCACCTCTCAGCTGACTGTCCTCTCACAGCCAACATAGCAGCCAACGCAGGGAAACGGTACTATTGATAGTTTCCAGGTTGCTGGTAGCAAGCAAGTTTCAAGAAGGTTGGTTAGCATCATGGATAGCCTGCAGATTAGCAGCAGATAAGTGTAGTCACACAGAACTGTTACCACTGAGACATTCATCAGGACTTGAGTGATAAAGGTTGCTTTGTTCCTATGGGTTAGCCTCCAGGACATCTATTATAACGGAAGTTCGTTCTTCATTCTTCGCAATTCACATTCAGCATGGAAACAGATTTCGTCTACATATGTCTTCCAACCTTTGTAATCTTGCTTATTTCATCAATCAGTTCTCAGTGCATGCTTGTTTGTCTTCGATCACTCAGCCGCATTCTTGAATGTAGATTTTTTCTCCATCAGAGCTTGGCCATGATGAGCTGACTAGCGGGAGTTTTCAAACTCAGATCCACTTTTCGTTGCTCTCTGAGCCAAAATTTTTCTTCTCTGTCCTTTATCATTATTATTCGTTTGTCCGTTGCATAATTCACAGATCCTATGTGATTAGGTTCGACCTCTCCGTTTCTGTTGAGCAACTTCTATCTCTACTCAATTTGATTTTCCTTTTCCTCTCCTTTCCACACTCCCCTTTTTTCATTTCCTTTCTTTCTTTTTCGTTCACGTTAACGTTAACGTTCACGAGAGTTTCTTCCTAGTTTTTTCCTTCTCATATTCCAACTCTTGGAGGAAGTGAAGTTTACGCTTGGGGTTTCTACCCCAAAGGTGGATGACAACCATCCTGATCCATTCAACAAGGTTGTAACTTTGCAGAGCTTCTGATCAGATCCACTACTCCCAGGTTTTTTCTCTCTGGTTGATTCTCTAGTAGTAAGTCTAATCTCAGGGGGACACGATGCTAAGCTCAGATTCTGGACCATTCTTGGTCCACGTCCAGTTTTTTCCCTGCTGATCCACCTGCAGGAACGTCGCTTAGAGTATTCATTTAGCTTAAGTCCGCTCGTCAGTCTAGTTCGTTTGGAGGTTCTTTCTAGGCTTCGTCGTTCTGAATCTTCAGCTAGGGTCAGCAGTTAGCATAGGTTTTCCAACTTAACTCCTCCCTTCGCCTCTTCCCTTTTTCCGCTTTATTATTTTGTTATTATAGCGAGATCTTCAGATTTCCCCTTTTCCTGTCCTCCGCTCCTCTTTATCCTCTCTCTCTCTCTCTTTCCTCTTTACCGTTCACGTTCACGTTAACGTTCAGGTTTTATGTTTTTTGTTTTTTCTTTACATTTTCCCTTACTCCGTTTCTCATCCCTCGTTCTTCTACTGTTTTGTCGCAGCAACCGATGAATCCCTTCATAAGCTTGCCGACCTCACGGAGGCCGCCGAATTTGAGGGTTTTAAGAACCCGGGAAAGGCTGCTGCGTCAAAACCTTCTGCTAGCAAGCAGGAGCCCTGGCTGCGTCATAGACTTCGACGCCATGTCCAGTTTTGGCAGTCGTTCGTTACTTCGACCTTCGTTCTAGGCATCCTTCTCTCAGGTTATCAGCTCCCTTGGACTTCTTCCCCTCCTTTGGAGCCTCATCGGCAACGCAACCATCCCTCAGCGTTTGAGCACGCCGACTTCGTCACGGAAGCTGTCCGCTCCCTCAAGGCTACTGGCACAGTTCTACCGGTGGACCGCCCCCCCTTTCTGGTTAGTCCCCTTGGCGTCGTGCCAAAGGCAGAAGACAAACTCCGCTTGATCTTAGATCTTCGGTTTCTCAACGGCTTTCTTCAAGTCCCCAAGTTTAAATACGAATCCCTCCGGCTCATCTCCGAACTCTGCCTTCCTCAAGATTTCCTTTTCACGATTGATCTGAAAGCGGGGTATCACCACATCGACATTTACGAACCCCACTGGAAATACTTGGGATTTGAGTGGCAAGGCCAGTACTTCGTTTTCACTCAGCTGCCTTTTGGTCTCGCTCCAGCCTGCCACGTCTTCACTATGGTCATGAGACAACTCACAAAGTCCTGGCGCGCGCGCGGCTTTAAGCTGGTCCATTACATAGACGATTTCTTCTTTACTTGTCGCTCGGCGGCCGAGTTCTCTCGCGTCCAGGCGTCCGTTTTGGCGGATCTCGCAGCAGCCGGCTTAGTCGTGTCGCTAGAGAAGTGCCAGCTCAGTCGCAGCCACGTCGTCAAATTCCTCGGATTTGTCGTCGACACTCTGTTCTGCCAATTTCGTTTGACCGCTCTTCAAAAGCAGAAGCTCAGCTCCGCCATCCAAGCTTGTCTCCGTTCGCCTCGCGCTGTCCCTGCCAAGCTCCTTGCTCGCGTCACAGGCATCATCACTTCCTTCTCGCTAGTTACAGGTCCCATTTCCGGCTTGTTTTCTCGCTCGCTCCACCGCGCGCTCGCGTCCCGCACTTCGTGGTACAGTAAGGTCCCCTTAGACGCTGCAGCTGTCGCTGATCTCCAGTTCTGGCAAGCTAATCTCCCGCTCTATCAGACTCGTGATATCTGGCGACGTCATTCCATTTTGCGCGTCATCCACTACGACGCAGGGGGCCACGGCTGGGGTGGTCATCTCGAAATTGGCAAGGGGCGCCACGAGGCGCACGGCGCCTGGGAACAGCATGAAGTGCACGGCGTCGCCTCTTCAACTTGGCGGGAATTAACCGGCCTTCTCCGTCTCCTCCAAGCTTTTCGTCCGTTTCTCTGCAATTCTTCCGTTTTGGCGCGTGGCGACGCTCTCAACGTCTTCACGCTTCTTTCTAAGGGCGGATCTGCGAAGGAACACCTGCAGGCTGTCTGCGTTCAGATCTTCAAGTTTTGCGCAGAACATCGAATCGAGCTCCGCCCGGAATGGCTCCCTCGCGAGCAGAACGTCCACGCAGACTACCTGAGCAAGATCAGAGACTTTGATGACTTCGGCCTCTCGCCCGAGACTTTTGATTTTGTCGCCCGGCAGTTTGGGCCGTTCACGGTTGACAGATTCGCGAGTGAGCACAACGCGAAGCTCCCTCGCTTCGACGCGTTCTTCTGGTGTCCCGGCGCGGCGGCCGCGAACACCTTCACCCAGGATTGGGGATCCCCCGAGCGGAACTACTGTTTTCCGCCCCCCGCACTGGTGGCCCCCGCGCTCCGCCACGCGCGCGCGTGCCGCGCGCGTATGACTTTGGTTGTTCTGGGCTGGCGCTCAGCACCGTGGTGGCCGTTGCTTTCCGGGAGCGTCGCGGAGGGCCGCGGCTTCGCGCCGTTCGTGCACCGGCAGCTGTACTTTCCTGCCGGTCGGGAGGTCCTGGTCCCCGGGCGCGCGTCACGCGACCGGTTCTTCGGGAAGGGAGTTCCCATTTCAGACGTCTTCGTCCTCGACTGCGATTTTTCCACATGAGGTCAGTTTCTTTCTTCTTTCCTCATTTTATTTTTTCTTACTTCCGCTTTTGATTTGTAACGCAGATTGGTTCAACTTCGAAAGTTACGACCTCGGCGCTGCTGGCCTTTCATCAACCGATCGCGAGCTTGCCCAACTTTCTGTCGACCTGCACGACGCCGCTCTAGTTTGCCGCGCCCCGGGAACGTTTCAGCAATACGCCGGCCCCTGGCGACGTTATAAGGAGTGGTGTAGCGAGAAAGGGGTGTCCGCTCTTCCGTCGAGTCCGATCACAGTAGCCTTGTACATGATGCGTCTCCTCCGCACCGCCAATTCCCCCGCCCCGTTGAAAACTTTCTCAGGCGCCGTTTTCTTCAATCACACGCTCTCGGGCCTCCCTTCTCCAACCAACCACCCAATCGTTTGCATGGCCCGGGAAGCAGCTCGTCGCATTAAACTCGCCGGCCAGAATCAGAAGCGGCCCTTTCTCGCCTCGCAAATCCGTCAGCTGTTCAGCCTCTGGGCCGGTCCGACCGCTACGCTCTATAGTCTCATGAAACTCTCTGCAATAGTTTTGTGCTACGTTTCCTTCTTCCGGTTTGACGACCTGATTGCGATCCGCTGGCAGGATCTGAAATTTTCCTGTACGCACCTCGAGCTGTACGTTCCCGACAGTAAAACAGACCAGTATCGCAAGGGCGAGACCATCTTCGTTGCTCGCCTCGGGGGCCAATTCTGCCCAGTCGCCCTGATCGAACGCCTCCTTACCGTCGGCCAGTACAAAACCTCTGGACCGGGTTCTCTAATTCGTACCACTCTAGTTTGCCCTCCGTCTCAGCGCCTCAAGGCGAACCCCCCTTGCTACGACACCGTACTTAGCTGGTTCAAGGAGGCCGCGTCCCTTCTCGGTCTCAACCCTAAGCTGTACGGAACTCACTCCGGTCGTCGCGGTGGCGCAACCGGCGCGGCCGCGCGCGATGTCCCTGACCGCTTGTTCAAACGCCACGGCCGTTGGCGCTCTGACCGCGCGAAGGACTTATACGTCCGGGAAACCCTCCAGTCGCGGCTCGCCACAACCCGCAACCTGGGCCTCCAGGAGGATATCCCGATTGCACAGCTGCGCGCGTTCGAAGCCGAAGCCTGTTTCTTTTGACCATTTTGCCCCAGGTCAGGTACGCGATTTCGGGTTGCTCTTAACCCCCCCCCTAACCCGCTCGTGCCTTCCCTCCACTAACCTCACACTGCTTCTGTGTTCTGTGTGAGCCTTGCACGAGCCGATCTTGCCTACCCTATTCTGTCCCTTCCCATCACACATTCGCAGTGCTTCGCACTGCGATCATCTATTAACGTTCTCGTTAATAGCTGAGAATTGATAGTTTTCAACGATCGTAGTTAGTTGAAAACAGAGGTTCTCTGCTTAACGAGAACCTCTAACCCGAAACGCGGCTTTAAAGCCGCGTCTTCGCGACAAAATTTCTCATTCTGTCGCTCAGCAAGTAAAA